CAGTCAGGAGGTTTTTGAAAGGGGCTTCCAACCTGCACCCCCCGGTGGTTCTCAGGTATCCTTCCTGGGACCTTCATATGGTCCTTAATGCCCTTACAAAGCCCCCCTTTGAACCCCTTAGAACAGTGTCTCTCCATTTCCTGACTCTGAAGGTAGTGTTCCTTGTTGCCATCACTTCTGCCAGGAGGGTTTCCAAGCTTGCTGCGCTTTCCATCAGACAGGACCTCTGTTCCTTTCACGATGATAGGGTTCTTTGTCTGGACCCCTCATTTATTCCAAAGGTTAACACCTGGTTTCACAGGTCCCAGGACATTGTTTTGCCTGACTTCTGTCCTCTCCCGCACCATGACTTAGAGCGGCAGTGGCACACGCTAGACGTAAGAAGGGCTCTTAGAATATACATTAAGCGCACTTCCTCCTTCAGGAAGTTGGAAGCCATGTTTGTTTCCTTTTTCCCTTCTCACTTGGGGCACAAGGTCTCTTCTCCTACTGTTAGCAGGTGGGTCAGGTCTTGTATTGAGAAGGCCTACAAAGCTGTGGCCCTTCCCGTTCCTTGTGGTCTGACAGCATACTCTACCAGAAGCACGGCCACTTCTGCTGCCTAGGTGACCCAAGCATCCTTGGAGGAGATTTGTCATGCAGCCACGTGGACATCCCCGTCTCCTTTCATCAGACACTACAGTCTGGATGCTTTTGCCTCGGCAACTGCAGCCTTTGGCAGACGGGTGCTTCAACGAGTGGTTCCACAGTCGGTGTGATGAGCCAGATGAGAACCCGCCTGTGGACATGCAAGCTTTGGTATGTCCCATCCTGGTCTCTTGATGCAGCATGGAGGAGAATGGGCATTGGTAGAAGTTACCATGAACGCCCTTTCTATCTATGCTGCAAGAGAGCCCAGCCCCTCTCTTGATTCGTCCAGAGAGGGTAAGACATATTTCTATATTTATTTTGGGCTTTCAGTCTGTCAAGTATCTTCGCCAAAGATACTTCCCGGGGGCTGGCTTTTATATCTTAGTACAGACTCAGCTATGACATCATAGGAAGGAGTCAACCCATCCTGGGCGCTCTCGCAGCATAGATAGAAAGGGCGTTCACGGTAACTTCCAGCAATGGCCATTACTTTTAAGTTGGCTGAAATACAACAAAAAACATGTAGTTCTTATAAAATAAGGAACACCAAAACATTAAGCATATGAAAACGTCAATATATATCTACAAGAAATTCCTTTGTGTACCTTCAAGAAAGAAGTAACTGGGAAAATCCCTTCCAGAATTGGACTTCAATTTCTATAGCTGAAGGGTTATTAGGTTCCCTATCTTACTGGACAATGTTAATATTTCATGCCGTTCAATTTTGCCTCACTTGTTTATCCATTTATGTTTTGCTCAGTTTTGCACAATTATGTGTATCTCTTGAAAGTTGATGCTCTACTTGTTCCTTCTTGGTTCATTTTATTTATTTTATTTTTTAATACATAATTTCGTTTGGGGTGTATTTTGGAATACATCTAGATTTTGCTTAGTGGCCACAACTGGGGCTGGCAATTGTTGCTAAGCACCACAATCACTAATTGGAAAATCATGTAACCGTGCCTGGTTTATGACCAGCTCACTTCCAATTTGGTTGTTAGGCAAATCATTGTCATTGATATGTGCAGTTTTACTTTTGAGTTCCCCCTTAACTCTGTTTGTCAGAAGCTGGTTGTAAAGCTCAGAAATAGTGACTGTAAGACAGTGGGACATTGTGACATGCATACCACTTGCGAAGCACTGAAGTGGCAATCATGTTCGGTCATGGGATGCTGTAACGGTTGTAAATGCAAGGATTTGGTTTTTTTATACTGTTGTAATCTTGAATTTTGTCATTAAAAAAGCAGTTGGTAAGTGACAACTAGTTGTAAACACAGCCCAGGTAGAAATACATGCACTAAGAACTGATGGGTTTTGTTTGCTGTCCTCTGATAGCAGACTTGGTCATAATATTATTTAATGGGAATGATGATCACCAGATTAAAGTGATACGGAGTTGTAAAATCAGGAGTTAATCACCACAAATTATCTTGTATTGGTAGCTCCTTTCAGCAGTTCATATCAGTGGGGCTTTCTGAGTAATCTCTGAAAAAAACAAACTTTTTTGTTAAAAAATACACATTTAATAACATCACCTTGAAGATATTAGTTTCTTTAGTTCTTTAATCTGTGGCAGCAAGTGAAACACCTACTGGGTAAACTGGATGAATCATTTTTAATGTAATAGTATTTGTTTTCAATATCTAGGAATTAGCTACGTGTTTTGGCTACTTAACTTCACACATTAGGGAAACCACTCAACAGTTACTGTAAAACTTATCACATCCTCTCAAATGCACAGTTTTCTACATAAAGCTCATAATCCTGTAACTAGTCAAACAAAAAATTAAGCTTGAGTTGTATCCATATGGTTTGGAAATTGTTGGCAAAATATGCCCACTATGCAAGAAGGCCACCAAATCCTTCATCATAATGTTCTTCTAAAAATATCCTTAACTTTTTCAGTATTTTTTTTATTTGTAATGTGGGTTTGATTCTTATGGTACTCATATCCTTCTGAGACAACTAACAATTCCCAAAAAGCAACTCAGTAGTACTGTTGATGCAATAAGGGTTTTTCTCTCCCTCACTTTTTTTTTGAGGTTTGACTTAATGGGGCAAAAGGAATGGAAGTCAAATATTATAATATTGTGATGAACAAAATAATCATCATATTGTTCAAGAATGCTTTGACATAAGCTTTGACTGCCATCTCCTGGATAAAGGGTTCAAGTTGGAAATATAACAATATGGGTTTTCCTCACTTTATGCAAATTTGCTACTATGCAATTGATCATTTCCATCCAAAAATTGAAGCAGCAATTGGACATAATTTAGAACAGCTTATAATTCTCCAAAGAGGACCAGATTTTTCTCTCTTTTTTTGCATATTAATATATGTTTCATTATACAAGTAGATAAAGCTCATGGATTCATGGTGGAATCAGGCTGCTGAGCAGATAACTGCAATATAGTTTGAGAGATAGTGGCTGTTTTCCCCTGAGCAATCGAATAATGTTTGCCTTTACATTTCTTCTGAGTCTACCAGCAGTCCCTTAAGCGATTGCACTGTTAGGATCTGCTCTGATTGCTATCATTAACCAAGATAGCAAGATCTTACATGATGTTTTTTTTATTGCTTGGATTTGGTCCTGTCACTCAACCAAATCCAAACAAAATCCAAGATAATTTTTGTTTCTTTGTTCTTGTCCATGTTAATCTTGCCCATGGCTGTTCTTAGGAAGAAAATTGCCAAATTCTCTTTGATTCCATCTACAGTGTTCTGATCTGAGGAGGGCAGAAGGATCAGGGCTGTTAATATAGCTCAACCCACACACCCTTTTATCCTCAGTCTTACTAGCTGTTGCAACAGTTGACATTTTTGCATGAAAGTCATATCAGTTCATTTCCAACCACAGTTCAAAATGCTGGTGCAAGCCTTTTAATTCTACAGGATTCAAGTAGGGGAATAAATGTGACTTTTCATAGCAATGTCAGTCAGAAAAATTTGTCCCTCACCACCACTAGCAGGACATTAACATGACAGTGTTTGTGAAGGTCCTGCTAGTAGTGATTGTAAGAAATAAATTTTTCTGACCTCATTCACGGAATGTTCTTTCCAGAATAGGCTGCTTGGCACCATTTTTGATAATCTTTTCCGTATCATCAAAAATATTAAACAAAAGTTTGTTTAATTATCTAATTACACATTTTCAAATTTTCAGATTATTAGATTTTTGGGTTTATTTCTTTGTTGATGCAAAAGCTATTTGGAATAGATCAATATAACATAAAAACTATTTTGAGTATAATAAATGCAATAATATCAGCATTAATATAACTATATAATGCAACTATAATAAAAAGTAACTGTATGATTGAAATTAGTTAAGTTAATAATAGGTTGCCTATATGGTCATTTCTCAGTCCGCAAACATTGACAGATTGCTGTATGTCTCTTGAAGCAGAACATACTTCCTATATTTTTTTCTATATTTTGGTCTCCCTAGCCCAGATATATTGTAATATACTTACTATGCAGGCAATAATAGGAGTTACACTTTGGGGGAGATAAGATGGAGAAGATTGCTTTCTTGCTTTGTATGGAAATCACAAGTTTCACTTTGGATTCACACAAGATTGAGTCAAAGACAGACTCTTCTTTTGCATCTTCCCCTAAAGCCAACTGTTGGGGGTACAGATAGACAATTCTTTCTTCTTAATCTAAATATTGCTTGCAAAGACTTTTGAAACTTGGCAGACAGTAAAGGATATTAGGGCAAATATCTTAGAATATTTCTACGCTTGGACTGATTGATGGACAAGGTTTTTTTTTGGCAAAGGACACATTGTTGAAAAAGTTACCCAAACCTGCAACGTTAGAAAATCACTGCTGTAAGTCCATATAATCCTGAATACAGGTCTTTTTATATATTTGTGAGTTGCATTCTAAGATCTTTAGGCATCATAAACAAATCTATTTAATCAGTTTAATTTAATCAAAAATTATATTTTTCCCATGGGAGGAATGTGTCTGCAAATGTAAAGAGTCTAAAAGAGTCTTGTAAAATTGGTGTCAACTTCTGTACAGTCCTCTTGCTGACTAATGATATATTTGAACAGTACCTGTGCTTGAAGGGGAGGAGAGTTAATATGTTGAAACTCAAACTCAAATACAAAGAGGAAGAAAATAACCACAGATGAATAGGAGTGGTAGCAGTCAGCTGTGAAACCTATTGATCTGAATTTTCAGTAAAGCTGGAGAGAAAATAACTTTATAATACACAATGCTGTGTGTTCCGGTGTGTACTTAATTTTTTGGGGTGGAGGTAAGGGGAACCATAGGTTAGCTGAAAACTCATTGAAGAGTTGTTACTTTTCTATTAGGTATAATTCTTCTGCTTCCTAATCAATTGTTGCTTGACATTTAGGTGGAACATCAGTATTCACACAAATTCACTGTGACGGTTAAGCAAGCTAAAAATGTTACCAAGGGGGCTTTTGGAGATATGCGTAAGTATCACTTTAATGTTATTTAGTGTTATCTGTATTGTATTACATTCTTTTCAGTTCTTACCACATGAGTTTAGAGAGATATATTCTTCAGGTATGACTGATTTTCAAATTAATTTTTGCTGCTTCAGAGACTTGAAATTGTAACTCATGTGTGTTATATTAAATAAATAAATCCAATGCAGACCTTATATCAAATTGAGTCATTTTAGAGCTTTATTGGTGGAGATTCTTAGGGCTACAAACTTACAATGCCTTTGCAGAACTGATAACATTTTTTTCTTCCAGGCTTTCCAGATAAGGAAAAGTCTAGATAGAGGTTGAAGGAAATATGGAGAGGGTAATTTTGTCACTGACAGCTCTGACCTTTAATGACCCTGAAATGTTTTATCTGGAATCTCCCCTATGGGGTTTTCAGAGAAGATTATTCTATAATTTAGAACTTTTTTTTTACTGGTTTTGTCTCTTAGAAACAGGAATATTACAAGTAGTGTTTTTATGAAAGACCACTTCATTTTGAATTCAAGTGTTCCATAAACCATAAAATACAGTGATATGGAATGGGCAATGGATGGATTCTGATAACTTTTTTGAAGCAGAGGGAGAGGAAAGTCACTTTTGGTTGATGACTCTGTTGGGCTCTAATTTCCCTTCGTAAAAAAGCGTTTGTAAGCATTGTGCAAAGGTATCATCATCACCACCTCCATCTTTCCTCTTAAAATAGTCATGTGACCATGCAATGTATTGCATGTTCAGTTGATTATTAAGGAGAAAGGTGGTGCTAGAAGCCTGTTCTGATGTCATCCTGTGTGCATGTAAATCCTTTTCATATAATTTCAATGGGGAAAAACAAAGGTCAACCTACTTGGTTGCTGACCAATGAGTTCTATCTATCTGCACTTGAACAGTTACAGCTGGAATCTTCAGTCTTCTTAAGATGATCATCAGACCAGAAATTCTTGTGCTGTGACACAATCATTTAGAGATGTAGTAAGATATCAGTGATACTACATTTTTTATTCATGAATAGCTAGACCAAAATCCAGAATTTCCTAATTTGCTATATGGCAAACTAGATTCCAAAGAATTCATAATATGAATGTTTTGGTTACCAGTTTTTTTAAAATTAAAATGAAAAATGTTTAGAACTCTATGCACTACTTTTTCTGAAATTTACAGTAAACCTCCCATTAAGAAATGATTAGCTTCTTCTAATTGTTTCCAATTCTACTACATTATGAGAAATGTTCTAGCCATTTCTTTATGTCAGATTACAGTCAGTGAGAGATTTGGAATTCTAAGATGAAAATCACATTCCAGACCTGGTTACATCCAGTTTGTGACACCTGCCAATAAAATTCAGTTCCACTAAACCCCCAATTACAATAATATAAATACATTGGCAAAAATGCTATCAAAAATCCTTAAAAATTATTTATAAATAATAGTGTCAAATAATGCAACTTCAGAGGGACAAAATCAAAACACCATTCACCAAATAAGAATCATAACAGGGAAAGCTAGAATATAAAAACAGTTTTCATATAACTGAAGATGGACAAAATCCAAATGCCATTGAAGATGATCTAAGCTCCCGATTCAGCATCAAGAACAAGGGTGTCAAACTCAAAATCCACTGGCTAGATCCGCCCCCTGAGAGGCTTAAATCTGGCCCATGGGGCCAGCTTGGAAATAGCAAAGGACCGGCCCACAGTGCCTCTGGCAAACAAAATGGGGCGTTGGGCGCTGTGTATGCCTCTGTGCCCCATTTTGGAGCCTGGATGGCCTCTTGCAGCACTCTGCCAGCCAAAATGGGGTGTGGGCAGACGTGTGAGGCCCCCCGCACTTTCTTTTCAATCCGGACGGACTCCTGCAGTACTTTGCTAGCCAAAATGGGGTGCGAAGGTACCCTTTTTGGACGGCAGAGTGCTGCAGGAAGCATCTGTCCCATTCCCCCCCAGCCCGTGAAGGAAAGCTACAATGCTGATCTGGTCCTCGAAGAAATCCAGTTTGACACCCCTAATCTAGAGGTCAAACCACATGTCTTTATTGTTGCCAAGAAAACGACAATATTTTCATATAAACAGGGGCAGTTAAGTATCATTTGAGGGACTTCATGTTGTTTTTCAGTGTTTCCCATATCTTTGGCTTCCTTTTGAGGAACTGCATTAAAATAAGAAATAATATAATAGCAGTGCAATCTATGTTGCAATTGTTTATAAGAAAATATTCAGTTGAGTTATGGTTAAAAACATTTCCCTGTGAACATCGATAAAGTTTTGGACTGATCCTGTTTTATCATTTGATTTACGTTTCTAATTTTAGAACAAGTTATCTAAACGGCTGCCTTTTCTTTTCTTTTTTTCCCTTCAGTTTGGTATAATGGTTAAGATCCTGGCATAGAAACAGAAGACTGTAAGTTGTAGCCCTGCCTTAGGCATGAAATCTAGCTGGGTAACTTTGGGTCACTCTCTCAACCCACCATACAGGGTTGTTGTTGTGGGTAAAATAGGTAACTCACAACCTTCGGTTACCTAAAATAGGGAACTAACAATCTTCAGTTACCTATTAAATAATAAAGGTAGGATAAAAATCTAATAAATAAATAATAAAATAATAAAAAAGAAATCTCCTGATTTCTTTTTTTGTTTTCTAAACGTTGTCTGCAAAAAATGCATTCAACTAAACACATTTCATCACCCAGAATATTTCTTTGTTTTTTTCCCTCTTATTATCTCACTTTCATTAAGCCCAAAGTAGAGTTCCTCTACTACTTATTAATAACAGAACTGAGCATTGTTTAGTTCTTTTATTAACAAATTGTCCCCTTGCAGCTAGTAATTAAATGAGAAGATTGTTTAGGAGCTTAATTAGAACATTCTATTAATCCCTTTTTCATTTTCAAAAATGCATTTAGTTCAGACCTAACAAATTTGAGTGTTAGAATGTTAGTAAAAGAAGTGTTGTTTATACTGAATCTGGAAACTGGATTCTGAAACAGTCTGTTAAAACGTGTATTTTCCATTCAACCAGTCAACAAGCCATCAATCTTCATACAGCTTGCTGAAGCTGATTACATCACATTTTCTTAAGGGCTAAGGTTGCAAAATTAACTAGAGATCAGAATTTGATTGCAATTATATCTTTAACTATGTTTAGTTGCAGTCTTTATTCCAATATATTGTTTATTATAGGAATACTTTTTCATTATTATGTGTATAATAAAATGTAGAAAGGTATCTGATTTAAAAGCAGAATGGGTTTATGATAGTGCAACTGAATCAGCCAAATAAAGATAAGATCCAATGTTATTATGTACTCATCTAAAAAAACATGAATATGCTCTACTGTTCAAACTTTGAGCAAAGAGGCATCAGCAAGCATCAGCATTCATAAGGAGGTGCCCTCATAGAAGAGAAAAACAAAATAGAACAAGACAGAATGTCTGCTTTATAAAATCACCACAATGAATATAATTTAAAATGTATTCAACAATACATGTGCCTTTTAGGAAAAGGATGTACTTTTGAGTTTTGATGACATATATTGCTGGTCACTTTTGTTAAATTTTCATTCTGGAAGTTAAGAAACCTTGTATGAGACAGAAAGCTAATAAAAAGACTTTATTCTGCTATATCAGAATCTGGGCCATGATCGTAGCATCTTATTACAACCTGCTTTCCAATGCATTATGCTCACCTGCTGCTACTTCAAAACCCATCCAGCACAATCTTTTCCCAGTTGAGCGTTACCTGTGCTAAATACCCAGGAAACACTCAGGGAAAAAAAATTTGGAGTCCTTTACACCGTAATAGCTCAAACGTTTTTCTTGCAAGCAGAGATGAGAGCAAAATATGAATGTTCTTTGAGATAGCTCTTACTCCAAAGTTTTCAGGGAGTGAATCTTTTGATCCAGAGGATACCATGGGACTTGGGATGAAAATGTCTGGTCTTTGATACACAGTTTTCTATGCCCAGGATTCGTTTTTATTTATTTAGACATGATGAATGCTGTTTATGTGGGTAGTAAAAAAGGCTTAACTATAAAACAAGCAAGTTTGTTATTCAGACATAGGATGTCCATACACTGACTAACATTGATGAGACTGGTTTCATATACAGGTATTCAAAGTGGCTATGTAAAGTCCTGTGTTGGACTTTCCCACCTGATGACCTCCGGACAGTTCTAAGTTGAGAGCAGATGCATATGTTTGCCTGCAGAAGGGATAAGTCATTGTTTCACAGTGTCAGATAAATACTTCAATCAGCATAAGACTATAATTAGCATGCTTGCTCTTGTCCATTAATTTAGCCAAACTTTGACTGCTGATATATGCATGAATACCTATACTCTTTCTCTTTACATGAGGGTGATGTGAGGGCACAGCAATTAAGACACTGGCCTTGTTAGCTGGAAAGCTGACAGCTCAGGTTTGAGACCCAAGTGCCACATGATGGGATGAACTCCCATCCTCACTCCAGTTCCTGCTAATCTAGCAGTTCAAAAGCAAGCAAATGTGAGTACATAAATAGGTACCACTTTGGTGGGAGGGTAACAGTGCTCTATGATGTCATGTTGGCCACATGACTGGAACTGTCTTCAGACAGTGCTGGGTCAATTGAAATGGAAATGAGCACCATCCCCTATAGTCAGCAATAACTAGTGGAATAAAATTCACTGGGATTCCTTTACTTTTACCTTTTTCTCTGGATAATTCTTTGCTTAATATGGGGAATGCTTTTTTGCACCTCTTTACTGACTAGTTCATTTTCGTGTGTTTAGTCGTTTTCTTCTTACTGAGCAAAGCTAATCAGATGGATAATGTTTGTACCAAACTTGATGACCACTGTATGTTATTGCAAGAGGAGTATACCTGTTATATTGTATATATGGTATATAGTTTTAAATAGATATCATATAAAATGTTTACTTAGTACTTTCATAGTATCTCTTTAGAAATCAGTTATTAAACAGCATGTAAAAACAGGTTTAGGGAATATGACGTTATGACTGACCTATAGGTTTTCAGAGAAGCTACTGCTGATACCTGCATTCTTATTTTATTACAGTAGACACTCCTGACCCCTATGTGGAGCTCTTTATTCCCACAGCACCAGACAGCAGGAAGAGAACAAAACATATCAACAACAATGTGAATCCTGAGTGGAATGAAACTTTTGAGATAATTTTGGATCCCAATCAGGAAAATATTCTGGAGGTATGGGTGCAGATATCTGCAGGGAAAAGGACTCATGTGATGTGGATACTATATTAAAAATATTAAGTGCTGTGTCAAAAGAGGCAGACTAATTTAGCAACTGTGTGTATTAAATACCCTTGCTTACAGAGGTGATATGTTTAGATATTGCTTTATAACTTTCTATTATAAATGAAAGTTACTTAATGAAACAATCTAAGGGATGATATTTGCTCTTCTACATGGCATGAATGAGTATCTAGTCACATTAGTCTCTTCTTTTTCTGCCTGAATGCCTGCCTGTCTCTCTCTCTCTCATCTATCAATAATCTTTCTCTCTTTCTCAACTATCAATAATATCTCTCTCACACACACACTCAACCCCCACACCTTTTCTACCATTGTAAAATAAAACTGACCAAAATGATGAGTATTAGATGACAAGTTGAGACAATCTTGTGAGCAGAGATTTGGGGATTTAGTAGTCTGAGCCCATCTCTCTCTTTTGATAAAGTACAAGTAAAATATTATAAGAAACAGTAGGAATCACAGAGCTAAAATTAACACAACAGCCACACACGCACAGGGAGAGAGAGAGAGATGGAGATGTATACATATAAAATATATAGGCCATCTAGAATATAATAGAGACCAGAATTGAGAAAGTTCTAATATGAATTTCTCATTTTAAAAATACATGCTTTATTGCAGCTGGTCTACATCTTCGGAATGTCAGTCTAGCTTGAAATGGGCTTTCTAATAGTGCTTATTTCTCCCTTTCTAGGTAAATGAGCCCCTTTGACGAAGGATAAAGGGCAGATCAGCAGGGAAGAGAGTGTTTAAAAGAGGCAAAATCTTGGGCTCATCAGAAATAATTTTGCCACAGAATGTGACATTTTGTTTGCTTTCTGGACAGAATAAACAGTTATCTCCTACATTTAGCATACAAAATGAGAAGTTTGTATTTTTACAAAATATTACAGCATTATATGACCATCAGGAGTAAATATCAGTTTGGCCAATCTAATTTATGATTAATGGGTATACAATTGTGTCCATTCATCCTGAAGAACTGGTTGCTGTCCTAACATAATTTTAGTATTAATAATGTGTAAAAATACAAATATTATTTTCCAAAGCCATGTGTGCGATCCCTCGGTATAATTGTTTTGCCATATCTGGTAAAAGTCTACAGATCTTCCAATTAAAAAGAAAGTAAAAATATTTAACCAATATTGCTTTGTTGACTTCAAGTGAGGTAAGTGAAGGGGAATAAATATGTTTGTAGATCTTTAATCAATACAATGTATGTTGAAAATTAACTTAAAATTTTGTGTACCAAGCATGTTTCCTTCATTTTAAAAAAGTCTTTTTTACATTTGTCTAGGATATGAGAAGGTTCAATTTAAGTGTGTATATTTTTTCAGATTACTCTTATGGATGCAAATTATGTGATGGATGAGACTATTGGTACAGCAACTTTTCCCATTTCATCTTTGAAAATTGGGGAGAAGAAACAAGTTCCAATCATCATTAATAAAGTAAGTTCCAAAATTAACACATCAGTTTCACTGTTGTTGGTCTCAAAATGGTAACTTTCCAAGGTTATAAGTAGAGGATCTGAAATCTAGAATCTAATCGTTGGACAGAAATGATGTCCTTTAGTTCTCTTGAACATTTCTGGTACTGAAAATGATGCGATCTGTTGAAATTACAAAGATTACAAAATTATTATTTCAGGTGTTGAGGACGTGAGTCAAACCACATCTTTTATTTTACTCTTCGAAGCATTTCTAGGGGTGCTAATCTTAATATTTTTTAATTCGAGATTTACCTGGCTGAAGCCACTCCTGTAGGCAGTGTCTTAAAATGACATATTATTTTGTAGTCCAATTTGCACAGCTGCATACACAACACACATGTTGATAGCTGCAGCTGTGAAGAGCCATCCATGAGAAGCCATAAGCCACGTTTAGATGTACTTTCATTTCGCTATCCCAGATTTTTTAATCCTTCATTTGTAGGGTCAAGACCTGAGCCATGTTCATATATTGACTGAACAGCATCTAGATTTTTCTGGATTGCTGAATTTGGTATTTGTTCAAGTTTGGATAATAGTCATACTTTGAAAAATGAACTTGATTTGAAAACATACCTGTCAAGGTTTTCTATTCTCTGGTTTTTATATTTTGCAATGAGTCTAGATTTTAATTTCTTCTTTTTATATGGATACAATGTGTTACTTTCAGTTTTTTCTAACCCTAACCCTAACAATAATGCATTTCAAAATCACTTCCCAGATAAAATTGTGGTTACTTACACAATATGGCAGTATTATTTATTATCTGCATCCTAGGTAACAGCATTGCAAAAAAAAAATCTTATTACATTGGTTATAAGATGATAAATGCTGAGAAACTGAAGTGTAATTCCATTACATTTTTTTTACTGATAATTGTATATTATTCCTTCTTTTAGGAAAATCTATTATTTTTTTCCATGTCTTCCAGAGAATATAAGATGTAACACTTCCCTTGCCCCTAGCCCCTCTTCCTCCCCTCCCCTCCTACTCTCTTCTCCTTTCTTCAACATGAAATTATTCTGCAGTTTGTGTCTTTGTGGTGCAAATGGTGTGGGAATATGAGATAGTATTCAAATATTGATAATGTATTGAGACCAATGAAATATATTTATGTTTATTCTTAATTTTTTTTCATACCATTTCTTGTTTTAAGTAAAATAAAACTGAAATATAAATAACAATGTCTTTTGAAAAAAATGTATTGACTTGAAAAAGGGCTTTTAAAGCCTGGAAAGTTAGGAAAAAATCTGCTCTAATATAAACTGGTAGGTGATTAGTGTTAAGTGAGACTCCTTTGTTTATAAGACAATAGATCACAAATTTCTTGACAAAAATTGTGATGCAATTATAACATTGCTTGTTTAGGTTACAGAAGTCACATTGGAGGTATCTATTGAAGTTTGGTAAGTAATCTTGGTATTCACAAAGTGTATGTGCAGAAATGATAGCATTGAGACATGTCTTCCTTTTTTGTGCAATTATGATATACTAGCAGGATACCCATGCTTCGCTAACGAAACTATGTGACCGGGCAAGCATTTAGGGTGGAAAATAAGGGGAAAAAATTGTGCCTATGTCTACCAGCATCCATTGGTATTCATCTGGCTAGCATCCTGTCAGTGTGTGAGAGTTGAGAGCTGTTTGGAAACTGAAATAGTACTTGCTGTGTGAGCAAGGAGACAACAAGGAGCCTGGGCGTGGCTTAACTGAACTGCAGTTGAAAGAGATTTCTTTTCAGGTGAGGAGCGGGAGTAGAATTCCTTAGCATCCAAGCGTATTAATAATAATATAGGAAATACTAACGCTCTGATAGTCATTTCGAAAAATCCTTTATTGGCGAGCACCTAGAAGCCAAGAGGAACATACGTGCCAAATTTCAAGTTTGTAGGCATATGGTTCTGGAGATTTTGTGATGATGTGTAAGTGGTATTTCACTTTTATATATATATAGATAAACTCTATCAGAAAGATATATTGGACTACAATGACATAGGATTGAGAATTCATTGAGATAGGCAATGGATGCACTTCAGTACTGTATGTCTTATTGATCTCAAAGTAGGATATTGCTGTAGTTTAGTCCTATGTATATTTATTTGGCCATCCTGTATTTTACATTATCTGTAGTTAAGTTCCATTGAATTCCACTGGCCCCTTTTCTATGTATACACAAGCATGATTTATGTTGTCTTAGTACTATAATTTGGCCTGAAACCTGATGGCAGTGGGTCCAGACAATTCACTTTCTCTGAGCCTTTTAGAGCTGCAAGTCTTACCACCATATTTAAAAATGCAGCACTTTAAATACTATTAAACCATCATTTCAGTGGCATTACAGAAAGTCCATGCTTGAGCAGGACTTTATTGGCATAGAACTTAAGTAGATTAAATTGCTTGTTAGTCCTTTAAGTAGGAGATTTAGGACTAAACATGCGTTTTGCTCAACAGCTCTTCAACAGACCTCCGTTTCAGCATGGCTCTGTGTGATGAAGAGAAGGACTTCCGACAGCAGCGGAAAACTAGAGTAATGCATTATCTGAACAAGTTATTGGGAGCTGATTTGACCTCTATTCGTGATGTAAGTCTGGAGAGCTTATATCCAGCAGTCCTTAGTTTGTTCAACCCCAGAATGATCCAAAGCTACATTGAATTAGTTTTTTTTTTACTGTAACTTCAAGTCGTATTTCATCTTTCAACACCTTTCAAATTTTTGTTTTTATGTATTTTCATCAGCAATCCACTTCATCTTCTCCAAACCCAGAATACTTGTTAAAATTATCACAATCTTTTTATTTCAGTTGAAAACTTTGGCTTTTAATCTTAAGTAAAATGAGAGAGCGGTGGCAGGACAGGGAGAACGGAGGTGAAGAAGGCTGTCGCAGTCTTTGAACACCTTCTCTGGTGCCAGGAGCGATCCCTCAGGGATACACGAACCCCGGAGAGGTTCGTGTCAACGTGGAGAACCTCGAGCTGCAGAGGGGGGAAGACAGTGAAGAGGGAAGCTCCCGAGCCCGGCACAAAAGAGTAAGCTGTCACTCTATGGCGGCTTCAAGTCCGGTCTGCCACTTGAGTGAATAAGCAAAGCAGTGACAGCCTGCAAGGCCGAGAGTAACAGGAACAGAGAAACGGTTTATAACTTGGATCCTCTGAAGACTGAAGAGAGCAGAATGACAGAAGAATGACAGCATAAATTCTTCTCTCCTGGTTGTGATTAGCACCTCTCAGAAGTCAGGCGGAAAGCGGCCAGAAAAGCAGTTGGGAAAATGAAAGGATTATAATGGAGAGCGGAAAAGCCTAAGCACAAAAGGAAAGCACAGATTTACCCTGTGAAAGGGAAGCACTGGGGAAAGAGGGAGATTGCTAAAACTTTCTTAGCAAGTTCTTTGTCTAATGCTATGCATGATTGCTAAGACTTTGTTTGCTTTCCTAACTAGCTAATACTTGTTCTAACTAATATGGTTAGAATTAGTTATTCTAGTAATAACAATTATAACTGCTTGTTTTTTTAAAAAAATCTGTAGTCTCTAATAACTTTAATTTGAGTTGAAATTATGAAAATTTATTGCAGCATTTTTTAATCTGTGAGACATGCCATCTTGAGAACTGGAAAGGACAGGGTGATATATACAATGTTCTTATTTTCCCACACATTTATCATTGCTTATAATGTCTGAATATGAACTTTCGTGTTGTTAAACAATCCAGAAATGCTTTTGGTCAGCACAGCCAACAAATTAGTCAAGCAAATAATTAATAATAATTGATGCTTTCTCCATGTTGAATATCTTAAAGTAAAATTAGAGTTTATTTCTAAATTTTCTTGCATAAGGCAGACAGAGACATTAACTACAAATGGCATGCTAACACACAGGTTAGTGCTCCAATTTTTAAAATGGTGAGTAGGGATAGCAAAGATGTTTATATATTAGAATTTTCTAGCCTATTGTTTTTTTCCTACAAAAACCTCAAAGCTGTTCTCCCTGAAGAGTATTAAATACAGATCAAGTCTTGCAAATGTGTGTTCAAACCCTGGATGAAGAGATACAAACCATGGGTTGTGTTTAGAAGTGAACAAACGATTTTTGGGGTGGGTGCAGCAGTTGGATCCTACCAGTTCAGTGATTGCGTGCGCGAGCACCTAAAGTGAACATGCAGCTTCCCCACATCAGCTGAGGCCTGCAACGCAATCAGCTGAGAGGATAAAGAAGAGAAAAGTGCAGGGATGGGTGGGAGATCTGATCCTGTACTTTTATTTCTCCTCTCAGCTAAGTCTGAGGCTTTTTTTCTTCCTCAGCTGATCCCTGGAGGCTTTCTTTACTACTGGTTCTACTGAACCAGTCTGAACCAGTAGCATACCACCACTGGTTGGGTGGGTTTTCTGTTACCTTATGCGTTTTATATAATATTTCCATAACTATACAACGTCTTGCTCGTGTTGTGTGATAAATACCTTAGAAGGCATCTATGTTGTATGTTTTCCCAGGTACCAGTAATAGCAATCTTGGGTTCTGGAGGTGGATTTCGGGCAACTGTGGGACTTTCTGGAGTAATGAAAGCATTGTATGAATCTGGAATTTTAGACTGTGCAACATATATTGCTGGTTTATCTGGATCTACATGGCAAGTCTCCTTTTTAAAAAAAAAACATTTTTATTTTAATAGATAATACCTTACTCTTATTATGTACAGTATATTTTTTATCCCTTGATTCTATAGCCAAATTGCCAAAATCTTTTTAAAAAGGTAAGCTAGTTTTAGATCATGACTGTAATCCCTTCTATTTCTAATTCATTGGTTTGTTGATTTAAAAATCTTTCTGAGTTAATAAAAACTTGCAACTTAGGTTTTTAATGTTTAGATTATACTTTTTGAGGAAATTGAGAGCTATAAAAACAAATTCTCCTCAAACTTATACTTATCCTGTATGGTTCGCTAATCAGCTGAAATCTTCAGTATAGCTCAAGGGAGCTTTAAATGTACTGAAATTAAAATATCACTTAATAACATGAAAGCAATGATGGTGTTTATTATTACTGCATCCTTAAAATAATGGATTTGATTGATTTCTAAAACTAGTAGAGCATAAAAGAAAGCAAATTCACAAGTCCCTTGAAGTTAGCTTTCTGAAGGAATTTTTTGCTTGGAGGAATAGTTCTACAGTAAAGTTCTCTAACTACTTGAAGAAAGATTGAGTCTTCTGGTGGCTTAGGTCATATTGTCAAAATTTTAAAAAAGACCAAAGAGAGCCCCAACAAGCACCTAAGTTCTGGAGTAGAAGGGCAAGTAGAAATAGGTAGGACTAAGACAACTTTTAGTTTATAATATTACTCTGTTTTCTTTCTATTATTTTATATTGATAGATAATCTTCTATTATTTTATACTGATAGTCTCTTCAGTTGTGATAATGGAATAAATTCATAAACAAACTTAATATCTTCCTGTTGTAAAGACTAAAGAGACTGCAACCCTAGATGAATTTTTGTCAGTTTTTCAGCATAAACTTAGTCAAAATGAAGTTTAAAAAAATGACATAACTACTGTCAGATTTCTTTTGAGGATCAATAAATTTAATTTGAAATCTTGCTGCCAAATGATGAAATTAGAATTCTTAAATTGAAATAATCTCCTCTCTTCTGTAGCATACTATTTTAAACATGGAGATTAGAGAAATACATACATATTGTGTTTCCCAGTTAGAGGACTGAGTATTTATAAACAATTAGAGTTTTATTCAATATTATGTGTTATAAATATATGTTAATTTAGATAAATGTAAAATATGCAAAACTTTGTAATTTACAAAATGATAGCTTGATTTTCCCAAGTTTCAGTAGTGTTTTGTCTCACTTCTCCTCCCCCCCCCTTTCTCTTATTTATTTATTTTTTAAAAATTATATGGCTTCCCAACTCACTCTTGGTGACTCTGGGCAGCTTATAAGGATAAAACCCCAGTTCAACAAACCAATAACTCTCCACTCCACTCTACTCTAACTCTCCCGGTGATAATCAGATCAGCCACTTAATGGGTTCCATATAATTCTGAGGTCCCTAGGCCCACTAGCAGAACCATGTCTCCAGGACCTTGCAAAAGGATGTCAAAGTGGGGGCCAATCTTATCTCTGCAGGGATGATGTTCTACAGGGAAGGAGTCACTACAGAAAATGTCCTTCTTGGTCCTGCTAGGGGTTGGCAATGTGCAGCTCCAGAGCCGCATGCGGCTCTTTGGGCCGTCTCTTGTGGCTCCCTGTCAGATGATCCCACCATTGGCTAGCCCTGCCCCTCGCCCTCCTCTCCCACTCTCTCCTTGCCTGCCCTGAGAAGAGAAGGGCGACGGTGGTGAATGGAGACTTGGTCCATATTCCAGAGTGGGAGCGAAACACCCCTCTACTTGTCTCTATATGGCCATTGTTGGTGCTGTGCACACCTCAGCCGCTGGGGGAGATGGACAACTTTTCTCCGCCTCGAGATACTGACTGGCCTGGCTGCAGCCGATGCTCCATGTCGTAATGGGCTCCAGGAGGAAGAGGAGGGAATGCAGTTTCCCTCATTATGAAGGACGCTAAATTTAAGTGTGCTGCACGAGGTGCTGCAAGAGCAGCAAGCAGCCATGGAGGCAGCAAGAGCAGCAGCGTCATCTGCAGCTGGCCCAGCCGGTGTCTCGTGATGGAGAGAACATCGCATGTCTCCCCATGTTCTTCTTGCTGCCTCATGGCTGCTAACTGCTCTTTCAGCGCCTTGCACAGCACACTTAAATTTAGCACGCTTCACAATGGGAGAGACTGCGTCCCCTCCTCCTCCTGGGGAAGGTGTTTTCTTTCTTGGTGTTTTCTTTTCTGTGGGAAACAGGCCCAAATGGCTCTTTGAGTGTTTAAGGTTGCAGACCCCTGTGCCTAGATAGACTTTCTTAAGAAGGTCCATAGCATTCCCTGCTTCCCCATTATGGCGAGTGGGGTAGATATGACTGGGAAAATATGGTTCTTCAAATATCTTCGTCTCAAGCCATGGAGGGCTTTGAAGATGATAACCAGCTCCTTGATTTGGACCCAGAAACAATTTGGCCATGGATTCTTTCACAAGAGAAGTGACACGTGCAAATCTAGGCTTACCCACCATTAAATTTTGTAGAAACTTTTCAAAGGCAGCTCCATTTAAAACACATTACAATAGTCAAGATAGGAGGTGACTTAGATGAAGGAAACTGTGAGTAGGAATCGTTGATCTAGGAAAGGGCATAACTGATCATAACCCACAGGTCCTCCTAGCCACAACTGCCACCTGCTCTTTAAGCAGAATTATGATTTCTAGCGAACCTTCCTTTTTTCATTCATCACCATTGTTGGTTGAAAATCTTGTGACTATCTTTGGTCCATTTTTATGTTCACTAAAAATATTGTTTTGATCTCTTCATAGGTACATGTCAACCCTGTATTCTCATCCAGATTTTCCAGTGAAAGGGCCAAAGGAGATAAATGCTGAGTTGAGGAACAGTATTAGTCACACCCCACTGAAACTACTTACACCCCAGAAAGTGAAGCGATACATTGAAGCACTGTGGAAAAAGAAGAGGTGTGGGCAGCCTGTGACATTTACAGATATCTTCGGAATGTTGATAGGAGAAACATTGGTTCAAAATGTAAGCATTTATCAAAACATTTAGGGAAGCTGTTTAAATCTTAGGTGCATAATATTTGTGTAAATACAGCTTGATGCATTAGAACTGCTGACTTTGTAGTAGAAACTGCAGACAACGATGAGAAAACTTCACTAATCAAAATTAAACTAATAGTCTGAATTCTACAGCATAATCTAATGTAAATGTGAGTTGCGGTCTGCCTTTTGGTTACCCAGAAAGCTGCAGTAGCTGTCAAATACTGTCAAATACTTCTATTACCACTTTATCATAAATATTCAAATGTCAAAAACTTTCAAAAACAATAGGAGAATCTAAATTAGGTCCATAAACATCAACTTTAGCTAGTATAGTCTCTGTTATTTTAGCACATAAAATTAAATAATACATTTATATCAGCAATATAACCTGTTGTACACCAGTTGAAAATAGCAGTAGCAATAGCAATAGCACTTAGTCTTATATACCACTTCACAATGCTTTACAGCCTTCTCTAAGTGGTTTACAATGTCAGCATATTGCCCCCAACAATCTGGGTCCTCATTTTACCGACCTCGGAATGATGGAAGGCTGAGTCAACTTTGAGCCAATGACAATATCCTTTGAGTTTCCTAATATATACTTTGAGTTCCCTAATGTATGAATACTATATTTACAGTTTTTATTATTTTATTATAAATAGTATTATCATTGTGAAAGTTATAGATAATTGGCACATAAGCTGCTCAGAGTCTGAAAGAGTAGGAGTGCTTTATAAGCCTAATAAATAGACCCAATCATCACCAAGTTCTGGTTTTTAACCAGACTAATCAGTAGCAAGAAGGCTTTCTTAGTCTTTATTACAAGATTATTAATTTATAATGTCCAGGTAGGCAATTCTGCTATATTTTTGGTGTATGTTCAGCTGGTTTATGACCATAATGAAGTAATCTGAAGTAACTTTTTTGTATTTTTTAAAAAGTAAAACTCTGAGGGGGATAGGTGATTAAAAATATGAACTATAAATAAATATGTCAGCTTCAGTTCAAATATTAAACTATTAAATTCTGTCTCCTTTTCACAGAGAATGGATATCACTTTATCTCATATGAAGGAAAAAATAAACAAAGCACAGTCAGCTTTGCCACTTTTTACTTGTCTTCATGTTAAACCTGATGTGTCAGAATTGATGTTTGCAGGTCAGTGTTCTCACTATCTGGGTTCATTCAACCTTTATTTATTTAAGACCATCCTATTCAAGAATGACTGGGTTACTTATAAAAAAAACAATGATAGACAGTAAAAAATAACAATCATGAATTTCCAGACAAAAGAAATTACCCAAAACACACCCATGAGAGGCTCAACAACTAACCCACTTCAGAGCTTGGGAGAAGAATCTCAGTTTGAAGGATTTCTAGAACCCCATTTTTTTGATAGAGGGACATGTTTCTTTAGAGAGATGCTATTCCAGAGGGCAGGCAGGTAAGTTGGGTCCCAAGAGATGGCACTATTTAATAGATGGTAGGTAACATATCAATTATGTAGATCTTACCTGATGAGCAGAAACCATGGAAGATGGTCCTTTGATAACTTGGCCGTATTTAGAGTTAATGACTACCATCTTGAATTGCTTCTGGAAACTCATTGGCTATCGGTGTGACTTATGCAGGAATGGGTGTCACACAGACTTATGCCGATCACTGCCTGTGGTACTGCACTTTGGATTATCTGCAGTTTCTAATATGATCTTTGAGGTCACATAGGGCGCATTGCATGATATGATGGGAATATGAGTAACTAAATGAAGGGCCTCTTAATCCAGGATGGACACAATGGACACACAAGATGGAACTATGGGAAGTGTGGTGGCTCAACTAGAGGGAGCAGTAAAAACATGTTCCAGCATCAAGTCATTCCATGGGACGATGTAGCAGAGGCTACTGAAGTCTTTATTTGCTGGTTCCCAAGAAAATACAGTTTCTGGCGAGATTCTTGTAAATAGGCGATCAACAACAAAGAAACTACTTCGGCCTACTCACAAAGCTGTTCTGGTTTCTTGCACCAGACATATCTCTATATCTGCCACTTTCTTTTCAACTCCAAGATGATCCCCAGGTTTTATACCAGTTTTGAATACGGAAGGGTAGCCTATTCCAAAGCTAAAATGAATAGTCAACTTAAGTCTGTTTGCACAGCCCCCAGGCACCATGACAGGACATTGATATTGGCACAGAGTCAAATTGTATATAACTAGGAATCATCAGCACATTGATGATCTTATCTGATAGCTTCATAGAAAGGAAGGGAAAGAGGTTTGAACCACGAAACATAGGAAAATATATAAAAAGTATATATTGCTTCAAGTAAACACCACAAAACTTGATTTTTATTGTTTCCACCTCAAAAAGAAGAAATTAAAATGACAAAGAAGTAGAATTAAAGACAGATGGAGCAAAAGCGTTTGAGGATGAAACTAATGCTTTTGGCCTGGATTGATTGAAAGAATTGGTGCTTACTTAATGTTTGTATCAGTATACTGCTCTTTTTAATTTGTCTCAGACACATATGAGTGACACAGTGAGACTTTTTAAGATAATAATTATGAACCAGGTAGGTCCTCTGTGTTGTACTCAGCTGCTTTTTAATGCTGTGAATAAACCAATGTAAACATTCTCTTGTTGCTAAAAAACAAAGTTCTCCCATGAGCTGTTCAGAGCATCCAGTAGTGGAGAGGTGCTTCAGTCTCTGCATGTCTAGGCTGGGCTTAATTAGTGGAACGCTCCTCCTCCTCCTCCACGGGACTCCTCCTAGTGTTCCCCAGTTTTGGCTCAGCCTCGTTGAGGATAGGCAGTGCATTTTGTTCTTCCTTGGCTGAAACAGGAGAATTATTCAGCAGGTTTGGAAATAGTCCGGTTTGTTTTTTTCAGGCTTTTAGCCTCCAACTCACATTATGATCTCCCGACATTAGCTCTCTCCATCTGGCTGTTGGAGATCGTTTGCATTTTCGGGCAGCACCGTTTCGCACCCCAGCTTCGGCATTGCTCCGAGCCCCCCCAACTGCTTCGGCATTGCTCCGAGCCCCCGCAACTGCGGCTTCGGCATTGCTCCGAGCCCCCCCCAACTGCTTTTTCTACCCCCTGCCATTGTGATTCCACATTGCCTTTTTCTACATTGGCAATAGCGACGTGGGCTTTTTTGCCCTCATCTAAATCATATCGTTTGATTCTTCCCCTCAGAACGCCATCTTGGTGTGGAAAGCATAAAAGCTTAATTCTTTCCACCCCTTTCCTGGCTGTTTTTTAGCCACAAGGAGAAGCCGTTGGAAGCATTTTCTCCTCGTGGTGGGAGTTTGTTGCTGGGAAGCGCGCGTGCGCCAAAAGTAATGGCCATTGTTTTGCCTTTGTTTTAAAGACTGTGTGGCTGGCTATTTGTAACTCGAGCTGTGTGAGGTGGTTTTCCTTCCCGATCAAAGACTTCTCTTCAGCTAACCTAAGGAATTATTACACCTCGTTTTCTTATTAGATTCAAGGCCATCTGTGCATTATTGTTGGCTTAACCCTTACAGCCTTACCCACCAAGCGGCACAACAGCGAGCACCCAGGCCTGTGTCCGCCTGTGCAGGGAAGCTGTTGAAGGCCTCTCTTTATTATCTTGGACTTTCAGGCATTCTTAATTTGGCTGTTTGGATATTCACTATATCAAACTGTTTTTCTATTAATTTAGATATATATTTATATCTATATGTATTGGTGATTGCCATTGACTCCAATAATAATAATAATAATAATAATAATAATAATAATAATAATAATAATAATAATAATAATGTATTAATATCTTAATAATGAAAGATATTTTTACCGTGATATGACTCATATATACATATATCTTTAAAAAAAATGAAGGGGATAAGATATTGGTCCCTTCTTGGATCAGGCCCCTGGGCGTGCCAACCGCCTCCACAGTATCGCTTTGAATAATGAGCATACTGCATTTCTTTTAATCAAAATGTCAGGCAGTAGTAGCTCTCAGACCTCAACATCAAGGGTCAAAGCCAAATCTCAGCACAAATCTAAGCAGACAAAAGGTCTTTCTAAAGCTTCAGAAAGGTATGCCAACAGGCGCCATAAAGCATTAGAAAAGCAAATAGATAAGTGTGCAAGGGAGGCACACAGGGCCTCACAGGACTTTCCGCCCCCCAGTCCAGGACTGTCGACCTCTTCCCACCCTCCTCCTCCCCTAGATCTCTCCCTCTCATCCAGACTCAGCTTGGTTCCCCAGAGTCAACAGGCCTAGTTACCTGGAACACCGACCATGCGAATGGCTTCTGAAGCTACATTCACTCCAATGGCTGCCGGTCTTCGACAGGACGACATTCTTCCAGAGAGGATGAAGGCATGGATGGAGCTGGCAATCCGCCAGGGAATTGCAGCAGGTCTTCAACACGCAGTTCTGACCAGGGAACATCCTGTAACAGCTGATTTTGATTCTCAATCACTAAGGTCATTGACCAGATCGGAGCAACACTATACCCACCTACAGTTAAAGGGGGAAGCGCCCCTCCAAGGGCCAATGGAGGAGGAGGAGGCGGAAGAAGTGGTTCAAATTGATCAAATGGAACAGATTGAATCAGGAATAATACAAGTCAGTGACCTGGCCCTGTCAGAAGCAGACCCCTGAGAAAGGGGTAGGTCTGAGGATGAGGGTCTTGTTCCTGATCAACCTGTATTTACAGGCTTATTCCACCCACAACTGTTCAGATCACTTTTGTTTAAGGCAAAAAACATTGCATGCCTGAACAAGTCGCCCCCTTCTACCACTCCAACTTCTTCAGAAGAGGGACCAGAAGATCTAATTTTCAACCAACCGGTAGTTGAAGAAGATGTGATTCCAGTTCCTCACATGTTTTCAGAACTGGTACAGAAACAGTAAGTATCTGCAGCGGTGTACCCTGCCCCCATGGGATATGACAGGAAATATTTTAATTTGGCCCGTGATTTCTCAAAATTGTTGAATACTCCCAAGGTAGTTGAACCTATAGTGGGATTAGCGTCCTCGTCCTCCATTCCCAGTGAAGTGCTGGAGGCATTGAAGCCGGAGGAAAAACGGGCTGAACTGGCCCTACACAGGGCCCATCAGTCTGATGTGTGGGCCATTAGAGTAGCCACAGCCACTCCCTTCTTTACCCGTTCTCTCAGGTGGCTTCGTCTCTTACAGGAGCATGTCCCCAATTCCAACATTAGAGTGCACCAAGATATTGCAAAACTTATAGGAGCTGCTGAATTCTCAGCTGACGCAACTTATCATGCGGTCAAGTTTTCAGTGAAAGCCATTCGCATGTCACAGTGCGACGCTTACTATGGTTAAAACATTGGCAAGAGGACATTAAGCACAAATGCAAGCTGGCTTCATCTCCTATTGCGGGAGACAGACTGTTTGGCCCTGGCCTCGACCCACTGCTAATCGAAACCTGAAACAAAAAGAAAACTCTACCTTCTCTTTTTCGGAAGTCAGATTCTAGAAACCCTCAGTCCTTTTGGAGGGGATCCTTTCGGCCCTTTTATCAGGGACCCATCTCACCCAGATACCAGAGACTCCCATCATTCAGACCAGGGCAGCAGCCGGAGAGGTCCGACTTCAGGGATAGGATCAGAAGGGGTGGCCAATCCAAGAGATCCTTTCGAGGAGCAGGAAATAGGTCTTTCTGGTGTCCAAGATAACTCCCTGGGCCCGACTCCCATTGGTGGATGCCTTAAATTATTCGCGGACCAATGGGACTGCTCAGCGTCTGATTCCTGGGTCAGAGACAGAATCAGATTTGGCCTTGCGCTGGAGTTTCAATCCACTCCCCCAGACTTCTTTAGGTCATGCCCTCTTTCCAGAGATCCAGTTAAACGCAATCTTATGGAAACAGCTATCCAACATCTACTGGACACACGAGCCATCCAACCAGTAGCTACCAACCAACAAGGGCGAGGTTTCTATTCACATCTTTTTGTTGTTCCCAAAAGTTTGGGTGGGTGGAGAGCAATATTAGATCTGAAGCGTCTTAACCGTTTCTTAGTATATTGCAAGTTTAAAATGAACACCCTGCAATCTATCTTACTCGGCATCAGAAAAGGTGACATCCTTACATCTTTAGATCTGATGGAGGCATACTTACATATTTCTATTCGGCCTTCCCACTCTACATTTTTGAGATTCTGTTATAATAACCACCATTTTGAATATGTGGCCCTTCCTTTCGGACTAGCTTCTGCCCCCAGGACCTTCACAAAGATTTTTGTAGTTCTCGCTGCTCATCTCCAAGGTATCTCTGTACGACTCCAGTGTTACCTTGATGGCGTATTAATTTTGTCATCTTCCCATCATTAAGCAGTCAGAGCTACTCAGACCACATTACGATCCCTACAACAACACGGGTTCTCAATCAATTGGAAAAAGAGTCATTTAACACCTTCGACTCGATTAATCCATCTGGGGGCAGTCATAGATATGGTGGAAGGCAGTTTTCCTGTCACCAGATAGACAAAACAGCATTCATCAATTAGTTAAGGAAATCAGGGTTCATAAGAGGGTGTCCCTAGCTGAACTATCAAAATTGTTAGGCAAGATGATTTCATGTATATCTATTATTCCTTGGGCCCGGCTCCACACAAGATCCCTCCAGTGGTTTCTGCTCCCATACTAGCACTTCCGCCGAAGCAACTCCAAATACAAGGTCAAGGTACCATCAAAGGTCCACATATCTCTCCACTGGTGGACCAGACCAGTCATCAACAGTGGTTGTCTCTTCAAAGAGCCCTACAGACTTACTATCACCACCGATGCCTGCCTATTTGGATGGAGAGCTCACTTTCAATCGCTCACAGCCCAAGGCCGCCGGTCCTCCATAGAACAGTCGTGGAGCATAAACTGGCTGGAGCTTCGAGCAGTACACCTGGCTCTCTGCAGCTTCCTTCCACAGGTACACAATCAACACATACTAATATTGACCAACAACATAATAGCAAAAGCTCACATAAATGGGGGCACGCAGTCGAAACACCTTATGTGGGAAGTGGAGCGCTTATGTCATTGGGCGGAGAACAACCTGCTTTCCATCAGAGCAGAGCACATTTCGGGCCTGTCAAATACATAGGCAGACTGGCTAAGCAGGGCCACAATCAATCAATCGGAATGGTGCCTCCATCCAACCCTGTTTCAAGAGGCAGTCAGGGGATTTGGGCAGCCAGTGGTAGACTTATTCGCTTTCTCCCTCGACTCTCAACTCCACAGATTCATTTCCAGGTACCCCTCGCAAGGAGCAGAGAACTTCAACGCGTTCCGCTGCCATTGGCCCCAGGGTCTTCTGTATGCATTCCCACTACTTCCACTGGTCCCCAAGGTCATCCAGAAGCTGCTGGATGAGAGGGCGGAGCTGCTGCTAGTAGCTCCTTACTGGCCCAGACAGCCGTGGTTTGCAGACCTCCGCAGTCTATCCTTATCAACACCATGGAGAATTCCACCAGACAGGGTTTTGCTAACCCAAGAACTCCTTCAACATCCGGACCCATCCACACCTGACCGTCTGGAAGTTGAGCAGAGACATCTGAAGAGTGAAAAGTTTTCCAACAGGGTTGGAAAACCATCCAAGCTGCCAGACGCCCCTCAACAACCCGCATTTACAATGCCATTTGGTCCAGTTTCTGCAAATGGTGTACTAAGTCGCACATTGATCCCATCTCTCCATCAGTGGCTCAAATCCTAGAGTTTTTACAAGAGGGGTTTGACAAGGGATTATCACTTAATAAGTTGAAAAGACAGGTGGTGGCCTTGACATCGGTTGTCACTTGAGAGGGTCTACTGTCTCTTTCTCATCACCCACACATACGGAGTTTCCTTCGAAGAGCAACAAATTTACATCCTCCAGCAGTTTACCATTATCCCACATGGGACCTTAACAAGGTCCTCGTTGCACTCACTAAGTACTCTTTCGAACCCTTGAAATCGTCAAGTCTCCAATTTCTGATGTATAAAGTAGTTTTCCTTGTAGTGATCACTTCCGTTTGTCATATTTCGGAACTGGCAGCTTTATCAACCAGACAAGTCCTTTGCATCTTCCATTCTGACCGGGTGGTCCTTCGTCCTGATCCTATATTTATTCCCAAAATTAATTCGGCTTTTCACAGGGCACAAGAGCTGATACTTCCTAATTTCTGTCCCGGGCCATCCCAAGGGTTGGAACTACAATGGTGTCAGCTTGATGTGAGATGAGATTGTGCATCTATATTCACCGCATAGTGACTTTCAGAAAAATGGAAGCCTTATTTGTGTCATTTCAGCCCAACACTCAGGGATGCAAGGTCTCATCTTCCACAATAGGCCGTTGGCTATTGGCCGCGATAGCGAAAACGTAACAGACTCAATCACTACAGGTGCCTAGGGGCATAACAGCTCATCCAACAAGGAGCACTGCAACATCGGCAGCATGGGCCATGCAGGCACCAATAACTGAAATTTGTCAAGCCGCAACCTGGGGCTCTCCATTGCCCTTCATTAGGCATTATAAAATAGATGTGTTTGCATCTGCTGAGGCCTCCTTTGGCAGAAGAGTTTTGCAATGGGTTCACAGGGACCAGGAGGGGAGTTCAAGCCAGACGGAGTCCCTCCCGTAGGACAGGCCAAGCTTTGGTATGTCCAACTACTGGATGCTCTGAACAGCTCATGGGAGAAAGGGCGTTGGTACTTACCTGATACGCCCATTCTCTTTGAGCTGTGAAGAGCATCCAGCCCCATCCTTTTTTCTGTCTGGTGGGGTCCTGTTTTGGCCAATGAATTGTTAGGGCATTGAGGGCGAGGATGTTTATTCCTCTTGTCTTCGCCAAAATTGGGGAATGCTGGGGAGGAGTCCCATGGAGGAGGAGGAGCGTTCCACAAATTAAGCCCATCCTAGACATGCAGAGACTGAAGCACCTCCCCACTACTGGATGTTCTTCACAGCTCAAAGAGAACAGGTGTGTCAGGTAAGTACCAGAGCCCTTTCTGGTTCCTTTGTGCATGTGTTGCACATAAGTAAGTAGGTTTATTGTTCAAACAAAACAATACATGTTGCAGGTAGAGTATATGAAATAGAATGTCTCTGTTAGCTTTCTTTCATATAAAATCCAAGGCTTCGGTGGTGGGTGAAAATGATGATTTTTATTAATACAGTAATACTGCATTACATTTCTATTGGTAACTGGTAGAATTGCTTAATATTTGTTGTCTACTGCTATTAGTTGGCAGTTCAGCATTAATTTTGATTTTGTGATGCTGCAGTTGGGTAGTGGGTTGGTGCCGAGTTCTATTTTTGTTTTATTTATCATGGACCAATTTATTTATGGTAATAGATCAAAGTCCCATACTCGATAAAACAAAACACATGAGCAAAGCTGTAATGTTAAATTAGTAAAGGAGATAGCTAATAGCTCTCCACACAAAAACAATCAAAACTCTATACCACCAAAATTCTCATTTCTGTTTGACACTTTGTAACCTTCAATTGTGCAAAATGCTGCACCATAGGGCAAATTTAGTCAACAAAGGTACCTCAGACAAGCTAATTTTTAGAATTTACTTCCCCATAGAATGAAATTTCATGAAAGATGTGACTGCTTCAGACAGGAAGGAATTGGAAAGAAAGAAGGGAAGAATGGAGGAAGAAGGGATAGAGGAAGACAGGAAGGAAGGAAGGAAGGAAGGAAGGAAGGAAGGAAGGAAGGAAGGAAGGAAGGAAGGAAGGAAGGAAAGAAAGAAGGAAGGAAGGGGACAAACTGAAGTTGAAGAAAGATCTCAGAAAAAGGCCATGGCAAACCCCTTTCAGTTAACACTTTACTATAGCCCTTCATTGTTAAATTTCCCAAAACAATTTCAACAGATACTTAATGTTTTGTTTGGCCTTTTGCTATGATTCCCTAGTTGGAACCAAGATCTTTCTTGACCCAAACTATTGCCCTAAATAAGTAAATCACATGGTATATTCATGGGATCACACCAGATGAATTCAACGAGGGAAATTTGACTATACTAGTTTATATGTTTGTATATTGGGAGGAAAAAAGTGTGAGAAAATCAGAAGTCTGAACCAGTCACACATTTCTGTTTGTAAACACTGCCTTTGAAGTAGGTTAAGTCATTCCTCATTTCTCTGTCTGTTCTAACCATTGTTTATTGCTGCTTTTAGATTGGGTGGAGTTCAGTCCCTATGAGATTGGAATGGCTAAATATGGGACCTTCATGACTCCCAATCTGTTTGGCAGCAAGTTTTTTATGGGCACAGTAGTGAAAGAATACAAAGAGAATCCTCTGCATTTCTTAATGGGTAAGTACTAGATTAAATCTCAGAAAGTAAATAATTGCCCAAGCATTATTCTTATTTTTTTTAAAAAAATAGTAGCATTGTTCTCTGAAAATCCAAAAATTTCCAAGATAGAAATTTTCTAGTTAAATATACTGTAATTGCAATAATAATGTACACTGTTTGTTTATTATGGTGGTTCCTTAGATTATATATAATTCTTTGAACAAATTCTGCCAGACAGATTCAGCTGGATGAGCCAGGGTTTTCATCACATTGTTGAAAATGCATAAAGGCGTAAAAAGAAAGCTCATCTATAAGAACCAAGCTAAGCTTCCAGCTGCTTTTTTACCTGTGTGGTAATACAGTATTTTAGAAGATTCAAGCATGTCAGAATTACAGCAAAAATAATTGTCTATATTATTCCTAGGAATGTGTGGTATGGGCAAAAAAAAAATCTGGCTCATACAGTAGAAGAGGAGTGTCAAACTCGATTTCGTTGAGGGTTGCATCAGGGTTGTGTTTGACCTTGGGGGGGGATTGGGGTGTGTGTGGCCAGGGTAGGTGTGGCTAGCTCGATGTCCCTCGTGTCAGGAGTGCCTGTGGTGCCCCAAGTGCTCTGCCAGTGAAAATAGGATCCTGAGCTCCGTTTTTGGCTGCAATGGCTTCCTGCAACCGAAAACAGAGCTTGGGAGGGCCACCTGCTCCATTTTTGCTGGCAGAGGCACGTGGGCCAGTCCTTCACTGTTCCAGGAGTAGCCCCGTTGGTCAAATCTAAGCACTCTGCAGGCCAGATCCAGCCCACGGGCCTTGTGTTTGACACTATATAGTAGAATTTAAAGTGCCATTGCTGTATCAGATCTAGAAAATGTATATTTCTCTGCTACCATCTAGTATTATAGATCATTACAGCCCAAATATGGTGGTTCAACACACAGTTAAAGTATGTATGAATCACACATGACTTTTCTAGTCCTGTGAGTGAATCCTGGTCTTACAGCTAGATAAACAGAAAGTTTCTATCTGGTGTAAGGCTTCATAGTTTGTGTTCTTCTTCACTCTGTTCCTGAGATCCCTTTTACAGTAGTGTAATAATAGTTATTTTTAAAATTTAAGAAATGCTACAAGTTAGTTTGTATTTTAAAGTCTGACTTTGAAAATTAATAAAGATATTATATTAAATGGATAAAATATCAGTCATTTATATACATAAAATATTTTACTTGTTTTCAGGTATATGGGGAAGTGCATTTGCTATACTGTTCAACAGAGTGCTTGGCGTTTCTAATAGCCAAAATAAAGGACCCACAATGGAAGAAGAACTAGGTATTGTAATAAAGATTGAAGCATGTATCTATGTTGATATTTTAAAGTAGTTTAAAAATAATTAAACAAATGTAAAATTGGCATGCTGAAAAGCAACGTCCTAGCCTCCAAGATCGTCTATTTCCCAGGTCACCTTTTAGTTCCAAAGGAAGTAATAACCTACAGAGTAAATGCTTTGGTTGGAAATGTCTTATTTGCCATTTAAAAGAGAAAAGTAAGTAGAAATGGTACAGAATACCTTTAGCACACCTGGACCTGCAGGGATGAAATCTAGAGATGATGAAGATGGTTATCTGTTAAAGAAGTACTTTGTAACTCTCCATGGCTTCCATGACAGATTGTGAATGCTAAGTTCTTCTTAGAGGTTTTACAGCTAGGTAGAAAGAATGTCCACCATATGCACTACACTTATCAGTGTAGAAAGACTTGGGATCTCTGGGCTAATTTTAAAAGTAGCTTAGACAAGTATTCATGGACGTTAGTAGTTATGACTGTTATAGCTAAAAACAGCTTGGATGCCATTTTTCTTCCAATAGTAATGAAATATCATTAGGAAAGAATATTGCCTTTATGTCCTGTGTGGGCGCTTGTCTGAAGCATCTGGCTATATATTTAGTAAGAACAATGCTTGATTACTGGAAATCTAGCCTATTTTTTTTGAGTTTTATTGTTCCGTTTATTCACTGAATGAATGTCTATTCATCTGCTAGGGATAAAAACTTCATGTTGCTTATTTCCCCATGCAGCTTGTGTTGGATCCTGTTATCTGTCTCCCTCATGAACTAAAGAACAAATGAAGAATAATCAAATAGAAAAAATAAAATTGCTGCAACAAGTTTATTTATTTATTTTAACAGATGGATAGATCCATAAGTTTAGCCACCTCACCAACTTGTTCCAGTCAAAACATGAGCAATCTTGGGTGGGGGCGGGGGGGGGGATTACAACCACTTCTATAATTCACTTGTGATCCCTCTGGAGTCCACATGATCACAAGTTTTGGAACCATCATAATTTTTTTTTTTATTATTATTAGCCCAAATAAATTCAGGGGAGAATGGAAACCTTTTCCTTAAAAATTATGAAACATAATCTGTTACACTGTGCCAGTATAGATTAGTAGATGTTTTTTCAACTTTCCAGTATAGGGCTGAGATAAAATAACTTGCCCAAAAGTCAACTAGTTGGTTTCTATTCCTGATGAAGATTTAGAACTGTTCCTGGTTCAGTATCTGAACCACTGCACGACTCTGGCTGTCTGACATAATATGACTTTATATAAAAATTGACATAGAATTTTAAATGGAAAAATTGCTACAATGGACAAGAGCAAAGCATCAGAGGTTAATACATATTTTTTTAAAAAAGCAACACTAAATCTATTTTGAGGAAATGTAGAATACTATAAAAGGTGTTATTTCATTCCAAATAAACCGCAGAGAATGCAGGAGGTGAGCTGTCTCTGAAAACGTCTTCATTGTAGTAGTCATCCATGTCACTCCTTTATTTACTCATGGTTGACAGCCCTTAGTTTAGTCTGTGATCCCTTACAGAAACCCATCATTTCCTCCTCCTGCCCCCCCCCCCCCCCACCAGGCAGCTGTCAGGCTTTTGAAAGACTGTGGCTGGGAAAAATATATCTATGTACATTTTTGGCTAATTTGCAGTTCCACATATCCTACAGGAAATTTCTAACCTTTAAAAGGTTAGATAATAAAATTTGGGAGCATCTAAAATGAATTGCTAGTTGGTAGCAGCTGCTTGCCTATATCTAAAATTGGTGAACTTCTACTTCATTCAAAAGAACAATTTGAATTATGCATTACATGCCTGTCTGCTGTCGTGGAGAAATATATAGTCTTTCAAAGGCATCGAGACTTACTCCCAAACGGATAAAAACATTGTTCCGAAAACTGAAAGCATGCTTAATCCTATGGATTTAATTGACTTGGATATGGTTAACTTTTGCATTACAGGTAGTCCTCGACTTACAGCAGTTCATTTAGTGAACTGCGGCAATGAAAAAAGTGACTTATGACCGTTTTTCACAAACAAATTTCAGATGCTTGGCAACTAGTTCATACTTATAACTGATGGTGGTGTCCCAAGATCATGTGATCACTTTTTGCGGCCTTCTGACAAACATTAATGGGGAAGCCAGATTCACTTAACAACCGGATTATTAACTTATCAACTGCAGGGATTCACTTAACAGCGGAGGCAAGAAAAGTTGTAAAATGGGGCAAAATTCACTTAACAACAGAAATGTTGGGGTCACTTGTGGCCATAAGTCAAGGACTACCTTTATTTTAAAGCTAAATCTGTTTCTCTGTTTCCTTTTTAAATTATTCAGGTGTTGGTTGGTTGGTTATGATGTATTCATTCTCTCATGACTCTTTGAATGTCTGATAGTTTGTCGTTACAGTACTGCATGGTGTTAGTCAGGTATCCTTAAACCAGAGTCAATCTTATTGCAGAGTTGAAAAAAAAAGTGCATTGGCCACAGGAGAACCCTGATACTGATCTACACAGACATACACTCAGATGGCCATTGCGTGAAAGAGCATGACTCTTGTAAAAGTCACACTCTCAACTATTCTTTTAAGGAAGTGATCTACTTGCTTTCCAAAATGCAAACCACTCCCAACTGAATATTTACTTGAGAAATAATAATAAAAAGAACTCCTGAAGAGGAAGATTCTTTCGTAATGAACTCTGAAGAATAATGTCAGTTTTTTGATTAGAATAAAATATCCTGCCCCCTTTCCATATATACAAACATACTTTGGAAATTCATTTCTTAGAGGGAAAAATATTGGAGTTAACTAGTAACCAGAGCCTCTCATACTAATATGTTTTTAAAAGTATTTGAAATGTTTTTAGTATACCAGACTGTGTTGGATTCATAACCATGAATTGAGTCCTAAAGCCAGATTTTCTCACTTCCTAGCTTCCAACTTTCAGGGCTATTGTAATGCATTTAAAATGCCAAACTGATTTAATATTAGATAACTAGATGGAGCACTAAAACAGGATTATATCCCAGTATAATCAAGTAGGATTAATTTAAGAATGGTCTAGAATTGAAGCAGTGTTTTAGAGTTGAGTGAGTTTTTTTTCTCGGCTGCTGTTCTGAGACAGACTTGTATATTAGCATAGCTTGTATATTTCTTGGATCATGGTTCATTTGGGGTAGGGATTTTTTTTTTTTTTTTGGTATATTATGGCTTTTATGAAGGGCTTAGCAAGTCCAGTGGGAAATAGCTTGCTCACATCTGAAGATGGAATGATACATTGCAGTGATGTTATGAGAACCAGCAGTGAGGAATAGGGAGATGATTATAGAATTGGGTCTTGATGTAAGTCCAGGAGATTGATTTGAGGGTTTCAGAAAGCGGGAATTTCAAATGGAGACTAGATTGGTGGTCCTTTGTTCTTTTCAGCTTTAAGGATTGAGAATATCCTTTTTCCAGCTTGCCTGTACCTAAGTATATAAATAAAACCCAGCCACCCTGTAGATCAAATTACATATTGCATTGAACATATAGAAGTTTTCTCTTCATTTTGTCTTTTACAGCAAGTGATAAATCCTACTTAAATGTGATTGCATGCCTGCATGGAGAGGGAAGTTTTACAGTCTTTTTCCTTCCACCCTAGAGTAATTTTCCAAAGGAAATAGCTATGAGAAAGACTTAAATGATCTTCCCTGTGTACCCTTGTCCCGATCCCAGTCTATGATCTTCTGTGAAAAGAGAAAATAAGAGTACATTAATTGCTATTATTATCTTGACAGCAAGCAGAGTAGGGAAAATTGTAAGCTACTGAATCTCACTTGTACTGTACCTCAGAAGTTTGATTGTTAGATTAATTTGTTTCTCACACTATATTGGGTCCTGCTTTTGACTTGGTTAAGACTAGTGTGCCTCATCATTCAGACAGTGAGTTTGGCTCAAGTAAAAGAAAAACAGTGTAAGGGTTTTTTTTCTCCCCGAAAGGTGTTTCTTTTGATTTTAGTAATACTGTAATAATAATAAAAAGTTAGATCAGATGGCAACCAGCAAAAAGAAGTCAGTGTCAGAGAACAAGAAACTAGCTTTATAAATTATGAATTTATTTCTTAATCTCTTTTATCAGAGGGTGGCATGAATTGCAGCTTTCTTTGTAAGAAAAAAATCCAATGCCTCCAATTTTTACTTAGCTATCCTTTGATATTTATTGAGATGGAAAATCTTTTGGAATGAAAAAACTGCAAAACTCAAGCTAACTTTAAAAAAAAGAAGAAAATATCACAATGACCTTGTTTTCTTTAAAGTGCCTAAATAAGGAAGTTTAGGCTAGGTTAAAAATTTTAAGTAAGTACAGACAACTTCCCTTGCCCTGTATTGCTGGCATGCTCCAATCTCTATGTCAGGAATCGGGCATGGCTGGCTCAGGAATTCTGGGAGTTGAAGTCCACGGGACATAAAGGGGCCATTGTTCCCCACCTCTGTTCTATGTGATGGTCCACAAAAGAGACATATCCTCTTTATGTTTATGGAATGGAAGGCAACTGCAGTGAAGAAATATTCTGATTGACCGCCTTCCCCTCCCCAGTACTAATATATTTTCTAATTTCTTCCATTTCTCTATTGTTATTCAATATTTAAAGTATCAAAATGTTTCTTTCCTTGTTTTCACAGAAAATATCAGGTTGCGACAGATTGTAAGCAATGATTCAGATAGTGATGATGAATCACAGGGGCCAAAAGGTAAGAAAACTTACCAATCATGACACTGCCTACAAAATATTTTATGGATGATGCCTTTCCAAAAAAAGACATAACCAAAAGAGCAAACAAGACTGTGTGTTAATTGGACAGAGGTACTTTCCTATTAAACATTGTAATGACCCAGGGTGTGGCACAAAGGCAACACAGTCACATAGTAAGAAGAGTCCCTTTAATACCTCCAATTTCCCCCCCCCACCCCCCCATGTCCAGGTTACCTTCGGCTGGAGAAAAAACTCTCCCAAGAACAGTCTTTAAGTGGAGGAAATTCAGTCCAAAAACAAAGTACATACAAACTGTAAATAAAAATCCACACAAACTACACTGCAGTAATTAACTTGACAGGGCAGGATAAGGAATTGTACACATGAAAGCACAGCAAAACACACACAGTTGGGAAGACGCCAGGAACACAGATAAGCCTCAACAATAATAGATAACTCACGATTTGCTTCCAACAAGTTGCTGTACGTAGCTTTCCTTTTTAAACACTGTTCCCAGCTGCAGCTAATGAAAGGAATCAGGGCCCTTTCCTCCCCCATAAGCCACACAACTCATGTTGCTCCCTTCTCTGTTCCTCCCTGCATGCCCTAGGATGAAGAAGGGGTGGGCCTGGGTCTTCCTCTGAATTCCCTCTGCCTTGCTCTACCTCTCTGCTCTGCCCAGCCAGACTGTGCCCTTCCCCAGTTTCTCCCACACCCAATGGAGCCACACTTCCACTCCCTGTCAGCTGCTTGGCCTCCCCCTCGGAATCAGATTCTGACAGGGGCATGATAAACATTTCTGGATGCTTCATACAAGTGTGTGCTTATTTTTTTTTTAATAAAAGATAGATGTTTAAACGTCCATGTTATGTCTGAGATAAAAAAAAGCATAGCTTAAAAATTCCAGAATGATCTTATAATTTATATTTTATGTTAAGATATTGAAAGCATTTTGCATATATTGTCTTCTTGTAATACTTAAAAACAATCTGCAATATAGGCCTAAACCATGAGATGGCCAGCAAACAAACAAACAAATAAATGTTAGTATTGCTACATTGCAGACCAGTGATGAGACACAATTTAATTTCTCTGAGCACAGGTAGTAAGTTCATGTAGGAACAGTGATGTGCTGCTTAATGTTTAAGAACTGGCTTCATTGTTACCTGCTTGCTGGAGAATAGTTAACTAATGTGTAGGTTTCATTGCTGATGCTGAAGCCTTTTTATTTTTAAACCTCAAACAGGCTCGGAAAACCCCCAGTCTCACGAACAGACCAGCCAGGAAAGCTGGGTCCAGAGGATGTTTATGGCACTGGTAGGCGACAGTGCCCTTTTCAACACCAGAGAAGGCCGTGCTGGCAAAGTCCACAATTTCATGTTGGGTTTGAATCTGAATACTTGCTATCCATTATCCCCTTTCATTGGTGTCAGTACTCAGGAATCGGTGGAGGATGATGATGTGGATACTGCTGTAACAGGTGAAAATCCATATGTTTCTTCATTCTGCTTCTCTGATCAGCAAGACAGAATGAAATGTCAGGGTTCTAAGTAACATATCCATAGCAAGCAAAACTCTGAGGCAGGCAGCTTCCTCAAAGAATAAGTTTATTGAATATGTCATATTGGCTCAGGCTTGTAAAAATCGACACTGAATATTCCCACAGTTTTCACCTAATTAAAAGTAAAAGTTTTCACTTTCTCAAAACAGTCACATGGTCCAATCAGGATGCTGTCCAGTTGCTAGGTGACTTCAGTCCCCTCCTTCCGGGCACCTGCAGGAGTGTCCTTGGTTCCCAAGAGAAAGTATTTTGTTTTGGCTACAACACTCCAACTACAGTACATCTCAGTACTCAGGAATTTATTCCTTACCACATTAAGAAAGCTATTCATTCATCTCTGTTCTTTGTTTTCCATTTTAACCATTTTGCACTCTCCCAAAAGATGGGGCTTCCCCCACTCCCCCATGTCTGTTTATTTTTGATTAAATGTCAGTCCCCATTTCTTCAAAACAAGTGTGATTAGAAATGTATTCAAAGTATTTTGATTAGAAATGTATTCAAAGTTTTTTTTAAAGGCCGAGTATTCAATATCAACAGGGTCATTCCAGCCACATAGCCTCAAAAAACTCTCAAACATTGTTACAACAAGCTATATGTTTGTAGAACCCCTTCAGATTTTCTTCAACAATTTTTATTATAAATTCTCTTACATTACTGTATGTGTCTGGTTATTTTTTCTTAATGTATTAAGAATGTATTTGTAATGTATTTCTGTAGTTTTGTAATGTATTTCTTTCATTTTTTGCCTAGTTAAGCTGACCAGTTTGTAATTTGCAAAATTTTCAGTGGTTTGTTTGTTTTCTTAATTGGTGTTACACTGGCTAGCTCCTAATCCTCAGAACTGCAGCTGATTTGAATAGCAGTTAATTGGGGGGGGGGAGGGGAGGAGCAAGGAGTTGACAATTTCACATTTGAAATTTTTAAAGAACTCTTTTAAGTGGATAGTATCAACTTCCAGATTTATAAGTGTGTAGGCTCTCAAGGAAGGAAGTCTAGGATATCTTTTGTTATTTATCTCTGTTTCGTTCTGTGAGAAAATCAGGTATCCTATAACTTCTATAGTGCTGTGTATGTGTCAATATATGTCAGATTAGGTGAGAGTGGGCAATGCAGTGGCTCAGCAATTAAAACATTGGGCTTGTCATCTGGAAAGTTGACAGCCCAGGTTTGAGACGGGAGTCTGCACAGCTGTTCTTGCACCATTTCAATGGGAAGATAACAGTGCTCCATACCACTATGCTGGCCACATGACCACAGAAACATAAATGGAGATAAGCACCACCCCCGTAGTTGGCAATCTGAAGGGACTCCCTTAACTGAGGATGGCTGGTTTTTTATATCTTTATATGTTGGTATATACATAGAGTTTTGAAGAAATGGGGACTGACATTTTATTTTTAGGTGGTTTTACATTTAAAGTCTAGTTTTCATCTATGAACTCAAGGTGTTGCCTCTAGCAGCACCTTTCTCTTCATTTTGACCTCCCAACTGTCCTGGGTTAACAGAAGTGGCTGAAATGTTTTTCCAAATTCCCTCTTCAGTGGAAAATGAATAGAGGGTTTTGTATCCTGTATTCATTAATAAGTTCTCATTCAACTACAGACTCAAAGTGAAACTGGCTTTCCTTAAAAGCACTTCTGGAAAGGAAACATCTCTGTTTCTCACATACTCTTAGTTCAGTTCATTCTTGGAAGAGAAAATGTATTATTTCAGATGAACAAGGCTGAAATAATTTGAACCAAATGTCTGGTTTTCCATGACAAATTTGTATTTACAAATTTGTTCTTAGATTTTACATTTATCCATCCATTTGAAACTTTGTTCTCCATGGTCTAGTAAAGCTCTACAAAAGCAATTGAAACAATAGAATGGAAAGATGAGGTTATGTCTGCCTCATCTTGGGAAAAAAAACCCTCTAGCATTAGAGAATGACCCTTAAGAAACTTCTTTTAATCCAGATATCCTTTGATCCACCTCCAGTTAAATTGCATTTGCTGCAATTGAATATATTTTTATTTTTTGACTATTTTCATAAGATATCAAGTAACTCCTTAGATTCTAAAACTTATTCACCCAATTTGAAATATTTGGACAAAAATCTTTGGCATCCAAGCAAAGAAAAAGGTGTGTGATCCCTTCCTCCTTCTCCTGACACTTTATGATTTATTTTTTGGCTTTTATGAAATTAAAATTCCTCATGGCTTTCAGACTAGAAAATTTTAGGCTTAACATCAGTTAACAAACAAGATACTCACAAGAAAGAAAACTGTTTTACCCCTACCATTAACATCATTTCAAAGTGAAGCGTTATGGAAGGACTAGGGATTATCTCCGGGTTTTGTTCAATTTACAAAACCACATCTGAGGGTTGACCATGTCAATCCATTAAGGTTTTATTTTGCTAATATCAAGGTTGTGGACTATCCCGAATAAACATTGGGTAATTCCACTGGATTATTATTCCATGCCTTATAGCATTCAGTGTTTCAAACAGGCAAAACATTTTTTGTTTTGGTGAATGGCTTTCCTTTTTTAATAATAATGATAGCATTAAAATGTTTGCTTCATGAAGCTACATTGTTTTTCACGCACATTTTCCTGCTTGTGCTAATGTACGTTCCATCATTTAGATATGCCATTTTTGAAGAGAGTGTATATAACTGACTGGGATTGTCTTCTCTCAGTTGCAGCAGGCAAAAACCATGTAATCTACTGCATTTATACTCCATCCATCTTTGCCCAGGAGCTCAAAAGAGATGCAGTTTTCTTTCTTTTCCTTTTGTCCTTTCCTTCCACTCCTCAAATAATCACAATAAGGTAGTTTAGTCTGAGAGATATCGACTAGATCCAAGGTACACAATGAATGTGGGTTGTACTTTCAACAGTCTAACCACTAACCACTGTGGAGATGAGTAGTGAGAGACTAAAAAATAATATGTGTGTGTGAATCAATGTGTGAATCAATGCCCCACTCCTCCTCCCCCCATCACCACATTGGACTTATCACTGTAAATATCCTAAAACCGGTTACAGTGGTTGCCTAACAGTGTATATAATAGCTTGATTTTATTTGAACCAGATACATGAGACTTTCGAGTATTTTAATTTTTTCACAAAACTTTACTGGATTTCAAAAGAATATAAAGTACAAGAAAGAGAGTTGCAAAGAGAAAAGGGGGAAATAGGGAAAAAGCAACAGTGGGGAAAGGGTGTAGATAAGAAGGGGAAAGTGCTATAGAAAAGAATAAGTTCTGATTTTCTTTGGTACAAGCATGAAATACAGTGGCCCTTTGAACTGGAGAAAACCATAGCACAGAACTTCTGTGGTTATAAACAGTTCTAATCATTAGATCCCAAGGTTAAAGTTTCATTTCTTTCAGCTTTGAGGAAAAAGTCCAAAAGTGGTTTCCAAGAAGAAACAAAGCTAGATAAAGTTTTTTTCTTTTAGCCAAACAGTCAATTTCATCATCTTCACCAACTCCATTAACTTCATTTATTCTTCCATTGTTGATATTTGGGAGTCCTTTCATTGTTGTATATAAAGAAGCCTTGCTGCTGTTGTCATGTGTAAGAAAATAATCTCATGTTTTTTTGGTTTGATCATTTTGTGTGTCCATCAAATCTAGAACAAAACTCTCTGGTTTCAATTGTACTTTCAATTTTAGAATTCTATGAATTTATTCACACACACACACACCCCTGATCCCAGTATTTCTTAGCTTTCTTACATGTAAGAAAAGCTTTCAAGTATTTTTTTTAATTGAAACATGAACATTTGTTTTGGAAAATGGCATAAATCCTTGATATCATTACCTCTCTTTTCCTAGATCCCAATGAATTTGACAGGATATTGGAACCCCTGGATGTAAAGAGTAAAAAAATTCATGTTGTAGACAGTGGGCTTACTTTTAATTTGCCATATCCACTTATCTTAAGACCACAGCGAGGAGTTGATCTTATTATCTCATTTGATTTTTCTGCTCGCCCCAGTGATTCTAGTCCTCCTTTTAAGGTGAGTAACTAGGCCATTTATGGACAACATACATCACTCTAGATTTTAAGTTTGTAAGTCTTCCAATGTGTTCTGGGTAGTGGCTGAGAGGTTGAACCAGATTCAAGAAAGATCAGTATTAGAGCTCCCTCTGAGCCATATAAACCTGAAGTAGTCAGCCTTGCTCAGCTCAATCCTCCCTCATAGAAAGGAGGGGATAAAAGGAGAGGTAGGTCAGTTATAATGGAATGAACATAAATTTTATTATATATTTATGATATAGTTATTACATTTAACAAAAAAAAATGGTAAATACCAGAAGGAGATAACATCCTCTGATTGGGCATTTTCTAATCAACCAAAAATCACTGTCAACAGACTCTTCTATGGTATTTAGCTACAGTATGGATTGGAAACTAGATCTGTTCTAAGGACTAGATACAATTCTACTCTTGGCCAAAGGGGTTTAATAATATTTGGAAGCGGTTTTAAGGGAAACATTTTTTTATGCAGGAAATTCTTACTCTAGCCATTGGGGGAAGCTAACTTCCATTAGCACAAGTCTTTTATTGTCCTGTGGAATGACTGCAAAGATACCTTAGCCAAGTCACCCTCCATAGAATAAGTCCAAAGGAGTGAAACACAAAACAGATTTTTCTGCTATATGCTGTGGCCTCATCTGTCCTACATATTTATTCCCCTTTGAGGAAAACGTGGGTGGATTCAACATCTTTGAATCTGCTCCAACTAGAATGTCTTAAACAATGGTTGTGCCTAAACTTGGCCATTTCATGCCATACCCCTTTGGGAAATGTACCTTTCAGACATTTTGTTGAGTATACAACTATGCTTATGACTTATTTGACACACTGAAAGTAGTAAATTCCCATCTCATTTATTGTGCTGTAACTATGACTTTGTAATACCACCAGGAAAAAATATCAAAAAGATAAAACATTATATATTTAGGAAAATATTTGGCACATTGATCATACAATAGACACTTAAGAATAATGTCATGGCTTTTGGGAAACATGGACAAAAAATAGGAATTGAGCCATAACTGTCAGCATAATTTGTAGCATTGCAAGGAACTGCCTTTATGACGCAGGAAATGTTATGACCCTCTTGTTTTATAGAGATCCACTTTTTTATAGCCAATTAAATGTTGCATTTATAATTACAACCATGCCAAACTTATGGGGTGGTATTTCTCACAAAAAGCTACTGGTGACTTATTAGTACTACTAATAAACTGGAATGTGGGATTTTGTATGGTAACATTCCCAAACTTTGCTGTTTGAAAGCTTGGATTATGCTGTTATACATCCTGTTAACTTTTAGACACCAAATTTTCCTCACAGGCTGCCACCAGGGAAAAAGAAATAGGATTTTCTCTATTATTCTTGCAGTTTGAAGAGTAGCACCTCAATTCTGCCGATTTATTAGGATCTTGAAAAATAATAAAGTATAGCATTTATGTTATCTAACAGCTAATCACAAACAGATGTTGAAGGGCCATCCAATATTGCATCAAATGGTCATTATTTAGAATCTGATATCCTTCAGTTTCCAAAGAGTGTATTAAGAGATTCAGCTGTTGAACAGTGATTGGAGTTTTTATTTTTACTAATACAAGGAAGAGGAGAGAGAAAAATCATTATATCTGTTGTTCATTGACCATTTTTATTAATATATAAAACATTTTAGCAGTCATGATTTTCTACTAATAGAAATGAAGTATGAGATGAGATTGTGGTGTTCAGAGGCTGAACCGTCTTACACTGTATTGTAGGTTGTTTTCCCAATTCTGTTTTTTCAAATACAAATAATTAAATGATTGCCACAAGAATAAACAAGATTACATTTTTATTGCACTTTCCCTATTTAATATGTTCTCTTAACTCAGGAGTGTCAAACTCAAGACCCATAGGCTGGATCCAGTCCTTGGGGTGCTTAAATCCAGCCTGTGGGGTGGCCTGAAATTATGAAAGGACAGTGCCTATGGCAACTAAAACGGACTTCATGCGCACCCCGCACCTCATTTTTACCCTCCATGTCCTCCTTCAGCACTCTGCCAGCCGAAAACAGGCCAAAAATATACTGAAAATGGGCCAAAAACCAGGCCAAAATATGGGCCAAAAAACAGCCCCAAAACAGGCCACGCATCATGTTTTTGGCCAGCAGAGAGTGCTGCAGGAGGTTATGGAGCAGAGTGGTATTCAGCAGGTTCTGACCGGTTTTGGAGAACCGGTAGCAGAAATTTTGAGTAGTTTGGAGAACTGGCAAATCTCTGATTGGAGATTTTACAGTATCCTTCCCCTGCCACACCCACCAAGTCATGCCCACAGAACTGGTAGTAAAAATTTGAATCTCACCACTGCCATGGAGGGCGAAAGTGAGGCACTGGGGGCCGCGCGCAGATCCCCCATGCCTAGTTTTGGCTGGCAGGGTGCGGCAGAAAGCATCCGTGTTGCCCCTGCCACCCCCTTGCAGCCAGCCCGCAGAGGAGAACTAAAATGCTGATCCAGCCCGCAAAGAAATCTAGTTTGACATTCCTGTCTTAACTGAAGCAAAGAAATAAGTGATATCATTATGGCAGGAAATAGGGTATTTCTTTCAACAGAGGAAAAGTATATTGAAAACAACAGAAAGCTACAATTTTATTACATTTTACACTCATCTCTTCACAATAACAACAAAAGATTGCTGTGATATATATGCTTAATCAGTGTTGAACAGAAATGACTATATTTGATTCAAACATAGAAATATCATACATGAGCTATATTTCTGATAATTTTCCTACGAAGGGGGATGAACCACTTTAGTGCTAGAAGCTCAAAAATAATAGAAATAAAAACAGTGACAATGTTTCTTCATCATTATCTTTAAAAAACTAAACACTTGTCTTCACAGTAGTATATAGATGGTAGTTCCTTAATTTTGGCTTTTACGTCTTTCCTTGGACATGCTAATTGAAGCATATGTTAAAGCAAGCTTCAAGAGATGGTGTTATTTTGATTTCCAGTTTTTCTATAGTGAGAAATTACCATAAGCTCCTAAAAACATGAAGTCTACAGATAGAATATGAGAATTGTTGTTAACAAAATGTCTTTTCATGCTCTTTGTTCTGTTTTTCTAAAATATGCTTAATTAGAATTTTACAATGCAATAAAGATATAAAAACTGCACAGTAAAATAAAAAAGAACAGAACAGAAGAAAGAAAGAAAACGTGGAATTTTGACTTCCACCCTTCTTTCTATTGAGTAATTGCCATCTTACTCTTTCCCCCTTCCTCTTAACACTTTCTAATCCCCACATCCATCCCCACATCCAGAAATAGTCTTTTCTTAGTCCATATAAAATATAAAAAGTATATAAAAAGTCTTTAAAATAATATTTATCATGTTTTGCCTGACCTACTTGTTCAGCTTTGACATTTCTATGAACGTCATCTATCCATTCCTCGATTGTGGGTATTCATGCTATCTGTTCTGTGTGGTTTTGTGGTTTTGGAGATAAAGGAATCTGTTTTGTAATCTGCAGTGGCATGTGCAAAATAACTGTTTTGAATGAGAAAGGGGGCAGTATGTGATTTCCAGTTTGCAAAAACAGAACTAAAGCAATTGTTAGCCCTCTGGGTAGAATAATGTGGTTGTAGTATGTGTTCTTGTACATTTTTCCCAGCTGAGAAATCCATGTGATAAAAAGGATTAAACATTATCACTTAGTACAGTGTGAAATCTGAACCATTATTTTGCAATGAAGCTTTTACTTTGATTGTATTGGCATATTTATTTATGTACAATATTTTTACACTGTAAGCCTCCCAGAATCACTTCAAAAACAGACAGGCAGCAAATAAATTTAATTAATAATTTAAAAAATAAACAATAAAATAATAGAAGACTATATATCTATGGAGATTTTCAGTCATCCAGATCATTGTTGTCTCAAAGAGGCTTTTTCAAAAGGCAACTGGACTTTGTTTTTTCTTGAAGACATTTTACTTCTCATCCAAGAAGCTTCTTCAGTTCTAAATGAGTGGTGGATGCTTATGAAGTACATCCTTCCATCCTCCACCATTCAGTCAGAATAATAGAAAACTATTCTCTTTTCTCTCAATTATGCATAATTGTATGAGTTTTTTTCCTTCTTTGTGTTCCTTTATATGGTGTCTGTGTCTTGAAAAAAAATATGTCTGTCTTTTCAGGAAATTTTACTTGCTGAAAAATGGGCCAAAATGAACAACCTTCCTTTCCCGAAAATAGACCCAAATGTGTTTGATCGTGAAGGGTTAAAAGAGTGTTATGTTTTCAAGCCCAAAAATCCTGCATCTGAAATAGATTGTCCAACGATTATTCATTTTGTTTTGGCCAATATCAACTTCAGAAATTACAAAGCGCCAGGTCAGTGCTGGAAAAGCATCATTATCACAAAAAATAAATCTGACAACCTGTTCCTTGTAAGATAAACCTTGCTCTGTACAGATTTACTCATAATCATATGCACTTTTATTTTATTTTGTAACACTGAATTTACTCTATTTTTTCTGTCTTTCTTTTTGGACACTATAGGGGAAGGGAGGTAGGAATATTTTTGTACCTGCTGTTTCAGTTTCAAACACATTAAAAAAGACACACAATTTAAATTTCAAATATAAAATATTATTCCTTGGCTTATCAGTTTACTTAAATCAGATGGGCAACGTAATGTAAATAAAGTCACATTTTTGCCAACAATGCAATTACACTCTAGATTTGGATTTCTTGTGTTTGAGGAACAATTTAAGAACACTCCTGCCTTCTTGAGACTCTTAAAAACAATTAAAGGAAAAAATACTTGTCCAAAAAAAGTCCAATCATACTTATGGCATAATGTGACTACATAATCAATTATCTTTGGTTTTCACATACACCCCAATTTTGTATAAGTAGTCCTCTACTTGCAGCCATAATTGAGCCTAAATTTTCCTTTGCTGAGCAAGAGAGTTATTAAGCGAGTTGTGTGTCATTTTACAACCTTTTCTTCCACAGTTTATTAAATTACTACAATTGTTAAGCAAATTACTGCAGTTGTTAAGTGAGTCTGGCTTCCCCCATTGACTTTGCTTGTCACAAGCCAGCTGGAAAGGTTACAAAAAATGCTGACATGACCCCAGGGCAATGCAGTTGTCATACCAATTTTCAAGTGCCCGAATTTCGATCACGTGACCATGGGGATGCTGCAATCTTTCTCAGTGTGGAAACCGAAGAGTCACTAAATAAATGGTTGTAAGTCAAAGGTTACCTATGGTATCCAGTCGTAAAAATATTGGTCAGTTTTTGATATAGCTTGTATGATATAGCTTATGCCAACTTTATCAAGCTTTGTATACCAGAAGTTAAAATCCATAGGCAACTGATTCTGGATTAATATATCATTATTGTACATGGATTTTCTTTACTTGTTAAGATAATTTTTATGCTCTTGGTATTCAGTTGTTATTTCATTTGATCTCTTTATGATCTTTGGAGCAAACTTGTATGGCATCTTTTAAGATTCTGAAACCAATAAGCCAAATTTCCATTTGAGACAGTAGCAAAGGCTCAGTCAGATTCATTAATGTTTCACTGACTTTGCTGAAACCACTGCTTATTCTTGGTAGCCCTCTCCATGTGCCTAGTAGGTACTTAAAGAATGAAAGGAGGAGGAGGAGCTAACTAGGGAAATGTACAGTTATTAAACATTCAATTGAATGCATTCTATACCAACCTGCTGAATTATTTGGTCTTAACGTACCTCTTACTTTGTTATTTAATGATAGGTGTTCCAAGAGAAACTCAAGAGGAGAAAGATTTTGCTGACTTTGATATTTTTGATGATCCTGACTCGCCATTCTCCACCTTCAACTTCCAGTATTCACATGAGGCTTTCAACAGGTTGCACGATCTGATGGAGTTCAATACCCTTAACAACTTAGATGTATGTATAATATACAAGGGAATTTTTAGATGCTCTGTTGAATTCAGTGACTTGTATATCTATCATTTGAGAGTTCTTTCTTCAATTTTGATAATTGTTATTAATTTCTAGACAATTCACGTTCACTTTCAAAACCAGAAAGAAAATGGGTCCAGATAACATAAAGTAAAAATATGTGTGTTAAATAATGCAGCCAGTGCACTTGTAGTGATCCTGCTGCTATAGCTTACTTGTATATAATGGGTCTAATTTTGAATATCAGAAAAAACAACAACACCCAGTTTCCATATTATTTGGAGAGCAAGGGATGGAAAAAGAACATTATTACAGATGGACAGATGACAATACAATAAATGGTCACTGACACTATTGGGCAATGCCAGCACAATGGGTTTATTGGGCAAAAGTGACAATTTCCTCAATTATGGAAGATAAGGAAGAGTAGGTTGATATTGTCCATACTTCTTGCCTTGAGTTCTGCAAACAAAGCTTGGGGAAAAAAAAATCAAGATTGCTGCTTTGAAGTCTTTTCTGCTTTAAAGTGCCATAGATCCTTGTCCTGCAGAGAGTTACACCTATTATTTCTTCAGCAGTTTGGAAAGGTAAAGGAGTGGAAAGGAATGATTTCTACTTTTAAATAACTGGCAGTTCTTCTATTCAGTAAGAGCATACGTAAATAATATATATATTGAGAATAGTTCCTTCTTTGTTTGCCTTCAATAATCTAGGTTAGGATTTAAGAAAGAATTATTTAAACAAGAAAACCCTCCTATATTCCTTGCAAATCTATAAAGTGTAGATAAATGAAGCATTTAATTTTTTTTCACAGAAAGAGGTTCAGCAATATACGTAATATACGTATAACAGGAATGATCTTAGTTCTTGTATCTTTGCTTTCTTCTAAAAAGCAGCAGGCAAAAACCTTGGATTGGCTTTTTGTTGATTTCTTCTTAATATGACTATTTCCCCAAACTGAATGATTCTATTTCAGAATGATGCAAACATATTCTTAGGGGCAATATTACCCTGGCATTAAGTAAACATATAATTGTCATCTCAACTTGGTTCATTCTAAATGTGTTGATTCCAATAGTCTCCAACCAGCTTAACCATGATCTTTGTGGATTGGGACTAGAATTCTCTTGAGGCTGAAAGCATTTTCCCTAAGCATTCCTATGGGAGGAGTATCTATGGAGATTCTCAATCATCCAGGTCATAGTTGTCCCAAATGTGTTTTTTCAAGAGGCAATTGGACTTCCTTGTTTTTCTTTGAAGATGTTTTTCTTTGAAGATGTTTTGCTTCTCATCCAAGAAGCTTCTTCAGCTCTTGACTGGATGGTGGTGAAGGATTTATACTCCCCCTTGCACACAGTTGATCATTTGCATTCTTTTAGAAAGTTGTTGATGCCACCTGGAGGTTTACCTGTGTCCTCAGGGTCACTTGATTAGTGCAAATGGGTGTGGAGCCTCCTTGGAAGTGCTGAAAGGGATTGTGTTGTAGATTGGAGATAGAGGATGTCGTATCCATCATCTTGGATGAGAAGCGAAATGTCTTCAAATAAAAACAAGAAAGCCCAGTTGCCTATGGGAGGAGTAGTTGGCAATAATTTTGAAATGCTGCCTATGCTCCATTCAGTCCCTTCCATATGATAATGCAATTCATGATGGAGTTGCTGTTCAAGGATTGGGGAAAATTTTAAAGTCATTCTCAGTATGCTTCTCCTTTTTATTTGCCCTAGAAGCTATGGTCAAGCATGTATCAAAACAATATATTTACATAGCATTCTTAAATTGTCCACTGGTCCAAATGCAGTGAAGCCTCCTTACTGGATCTTGATGCAATAGACTTCCAAGACAACACATCAACTTTCTGCTATTTGCTTAATAATGCCATCATGCAAATAAACAATTTGCATAATTTACATCATTTGATTATGATACATTTTGTTTACATAGGCAAACAAATATTCAAATTTTGCAAATCTCGTGCCTGTATCTCTTAATTATAAGGACATTTGTCATACTCCCCTAGGTTCTTTCCCTAACTTAATCCATTCAGATAAGGTTTCATTTGTACGGTTGATTTCTAAAAGCACTCTGTTTTTCCTTGCTCTAACTCTATCCTTACTTTCTCATTATTGCTTTAATTTCAGAAATCCATTTTGTAGGCTTAAGATATGAAACAAACCTTTAGAACTAGTAGGATACTTTCATAATTTAGTCAGTTCTGGCCATGAATTTGCCTGTTATGCTTTATTGACAAATAATTAATGCATATTAGGCAAAATTGTATGGTGAACTCCTACAGAATGCAGACATAATTTTGTTTATGGAAAAACAAAATTTACTAATGTTTCATTGAAGAGAAAAAGGAAGGCATGACTACCATATGCATAGACAATGACATTTTTGTTACATTTAACATTTTGTAACCCATCCTCCCTTCCCCATAGAAATTCCACATATGGACATGTTGATGTGTGTTCAATACAATGGAAATGTGTCTATTTGTTAATTAAATTTATATGCTGCCCATCTCATGGTTTCAGACGACTCAGAGTGATAGGAGTTGATTCAAAGGCCTCCTTCACAAAACAGAAAAAAGGAGGAATGATTAGATGGAGATGCTGGGAAACTTAGTTTATGGTTGTGTTCCTGGACAAAAGCACAGTCTTTATATGCGAAATAGAGTTGAAGTTTTATTTTTGCTAGACAGTTTAGTGTATTACTAACATTACTTTTTCTGCAACAGTCCAAATTGTTGGGTATATTATGGTTAAAAGATGCCATCTAGTGGTTAAATTTCATTCTCCATTAAAAAGAAACACTGCGTACAAATTAAAAACATTGGATCATGTGTAGAATCTGTCATCTTTCTGGAGAATGGTATCACAGTATATATTAGAAAGTGCCTTTCTCTTTCTTATTTCAGAAGTAGAAGATTGCAGCAGTGTGTGTGTGTGTGTGTGTGTGTGTGTGTGTGTGTGTGTGTGTGTGTTTTCGCGGGTATTTACATGTATGGTATTCAGCTTTGTTCGGGTATTTTCCCACACGTCATTATAGTTGTGCTTTTAAAGTTGTAGCAACGTTTCAGCAGAATCTCATCTGCCATCATCAGGCTTCTGTATCGTGTATATAAAAACATTCGTTCATTTAGTGTAAAAAGTATACAGTGCAAATCTGATAACGTTTCATCGAAAATAAGATCCATCTGGAAAATAACCTCTAGCATGATTTTTCAGGATGCTTGTAATATAAGCCCTATCCCCAAAACAAGCCTGTTAAGATTGTCAGCCAAAAAAAAAAAAAAAAAGATTGTCAGCCAGATGGACATATTTAGTACCATATTTCCTCAAAAAAATAGTACTGTATGTCCTCAAAAGATTGGAAATTAAGCCCAAATGCATTTTTTGGAGCAAAAAATTAATATAAGACCTGGTCTTATTTTCAGGGAAACATGGTACCTCTTTAGAGGAAGGCTCCACTGAGATTAATGGAACAAATTCCTCTGTAAACAGGCAGAGCATATATGACAGGAAATTTAGATACTTTAAAAAGTTTTATCTTGTGAAAAAAAGGAAATTACAAAAGAGAACAACATTATATTATTTGTTTGATACAGACGCTTATATAAATAGACAATAGACAACTTTCAGCACTAGTACAGTTTTGATGCTATTTTTGCTTCTTTCTTTGCAGGTAATCAAAGAAGTGATAACAGACAGTATTGAGTATAGAAGGCAAAACCCATCACGCTGTTCTGTATCGCTCAGCAATGTTGAAGCAAGGAGATACTTCAACAAAGCTAAAAGCAATAACCATACCTAAGGATCAATACAAGCTTTGCTACTTAGAGCCAAGGATTGTTGCATTGATCAGACTATATGCAGAAAAAAATCCTCTGGGAATGAATCATTACAAAATAAAGGAATACAATTGCATCCCTGATGATGATGATGATGATGATGATGATGATAATGATAGGTTTATTTACAGCTAGAAACCAAATAACAAGTATAGTATAAATTACACAATAAGACACAAAGGAAGAAGGAGAAAAAAGAACAAAGTAAAATACTTAATGCAATAGAATTCATAAGCATCACAGTCGATAATAATGTTAAAATAAAGTTTTAAAAAATGGTTCAACTGGTTTTTCTTCAGATCATATAAATCTTCTGACCCAGCTGTTCTTGAATATTTCTCCTCATTCCTTTAAAACACTTCTCCCCAGCAATGTTGTCCCAAATATATTGATTTATTTAACATGTTGGAAGTTGTACAGTAATCTTAGCATAGTTAGAGGCTAAGTTGAGGAATGGTTACTTTAAGAAGACAATACTCTCATTTTTGATGTGAATACTCTGTGGTTGTATGAATGCTATATTCTAAGTAAATTGTTTCATGAAAGTATTCTTCCCAGGCAATTATATAAAAATGTTTGTATCAGTGTGAAATGAGTGTTAAAAATCTAAACCCATCTGCACCATCCATTCATTTAACAACATCAAAAACAAAATTAGATGGATGATAACATCGCTTGGTTTTTTTGTTTTGTTGAATTTTTATATAATTAAACATAGTAGACTCTTGATTTAGTTTAACTTAGTTAAAGGACAGAGACTTTTTAAAAAGTGTTTATTTCTTTTAAAGTAAAAGTTGCATAAAGGGACTTAAACTTTTAAAAACAAGAGTGGCTTCCTTTCCCAGTTATGGACATATTCACAATTATTTATATTGCCAGTTGAGCCCTTAAAATATGGGAAACCATTCTGCATAAATGTTTTTTTGCAAACCACTAGATATTTTTAAGCACTACAGATTCCTTTCCCCTTCCATCACACTCCTGTCCCATGCAACTACCTGTCATTGTTGCAATCTGTACATAATTCTAAATCACAATGGGGAATACTCTTTTTTAAGCATAACTTGATCCATGAAGCTATGCCTTACAATAAAGGAATGTATCAGGCTATTATAGCTTGCTAAATGCCCCCAATTTGGTATTGTGTTTGAGTCAGGCTATGAAATCATCATTCTATATTTAATTTATGGAATGTGTGAGATATTTCAGAGCCACACTATAGCCAGTCCTTCCCAGGTCATGCTCTCATCCCTTTCTCTTGGTTCTTTGGTGTATATAGTTATTTTCCTATCCAAGTAACAAACAGGAATATAGAGATGTACCCTCTGATAGTACATGTTGCTCTTCATGAACAGACTGCACCATCTGTTTTAGTTATGGAGTTGCCTTCTGAAACAAAACAGAAAATCTCTTTATATTTTCCTTGCTGATTTGTGCTTATGATTGTAAATCTTGACAAGATGGACTATGCTACTGCTTGGTACCAGAATAATTAAATCGGGATGAGTAACTCAGTCCAACACTCAGGAAAAAATACAGATGAAATGCTAAAAGAATGACATTGAGTTGAGCAGGTATAAAAATTCAATATATAAATAAAATGCTGGTGGGTATTTCTTAGTGTGGGTTTGTGCCTGAAATCAAATTTTGATTTGTAGTGACTGCCTGGATAACTCCCTGCAGTTTCCTTGGGAAGGTTTTTCAGGAAGTGGCTAGCCATTGCCTTCTTAGGGCTGAAAGCGAGTGGCATAAGGTCCCTCAAATGTTGACTTCATGTTGAAGGTGGGATTAAAACTGATGAGATTCCAATTTTTAGACTGGTCTCTTAAGCATCTCATATAGTTTAGAGACCAAACTATATCCACTGAACCAGAAATTTAATCCAGTATGTAATTATTCATTTTGTATGCACTACTCCTTGCTGAGAACTAAAAATCTGTTCAGAATTAATTTGTCCCTATTTCTTCTTCACTCCAGGCACCAAAGAGCACCAAATGTCTGTTCACAAGAGCCTTTAGTTCCCTTCGACTTCCCTTAGTAATTTTTTTCCACTTCCCTACACAAAAGAGAATTTTAAATCCTTATGATGGCCAGACATTACACTGAAGCATAGTACATGTGTATCTGCAATGACATTTTTGCTGTCTAACGTGTATTGTTCAAGTACTGGGAACATGAGAAGTTACAGTAACTGCATTGCTTTTGACTGGAATGTTATGAAGTGAGCTCACATTTGGACAATATACAATCTTAAAGTAACATGATTCTCTTTGCCAAATTGTAGCACTTTGCAATGGCAACTATTGCAAATATGTACGATCAGACCTTTCCTACTTTTATGCCATTTCAAAACTAATGATCCTTGGCTGTTAGAATGCTTTGTTTCAAAACTTGGGTTGATTTCAGAACAAAAATATTAATGCCCCTGGAGAGTAGAACAAAAGATCAACTGAAGGGTCATGGTTTAGAGCTTTGTTTTCAAGGCAGATTGAACAAGATAGCATTCCCTAATGGATGTAATCCAGCTACTCCCATGGTTGATCATGATTTCACTTCGGAAATTAGATGTGAATTAGATGTTTAAAATCATAATACGATTTTATGTTTTTTTAAAAAAAAAAATTCTGTGAAAAAAAAGGATGTCATACAATCTTATGTATTTTAAGTAAAACCAGCAACGTATTAAATCATTCATTTTTCTTTTGTTTAGAATGTTTAATTGGTTCACAAGACTAACAATGAATTGTCCCTTGTATGGATAAAAACATTTCATATCCCTTTCTTAACAATGCTTGGTATATTGTCCGTTTTGTCCCAGGACATTATTATTTAATGTTTTAAATAAATGTTATTGTGTGGTTACATTATAGACCCATGATGGTGAACCTATGGCATGTGTGCTGAAAGTGGCACGCAGATCCATCTCTCTGGGCATGTCAGCCATCACTCGTTGCTCTTCTGGGTGCCAAAAAGGTACACCAACATTGTTGCAGACTTATCAAATTTACAGTCTAACATTTCCATCATTGGTTGTACAGTTGTATTATAGGTAACATAATGTTGCTTCACTTGAAACCATGGTTTAGAAATAAGTTTGCTCAGCCCAGAGAACATCTTTTCTAGGTTTTGTAGCGCATGACTGAAGTTAATAGTGTGGCTTAGAAAAGCTTAAGAATTCTCCAGCTAGATTGACTATTGTAATTTTTTTTAAAAAAAACTGGCCAAACTGGCTTTTATCTGACTAGTTTCTATATATGTGGTCAAATTTTGCTACGGTTTGTAAAACCAGACACCCTTGGATTGCATCAATTATCTTTCCGTAAACTATGTCATTTGGTTTTATCTCCTGCTAACTTGTTGAATTCTTTATTTTGCAATAAAGGTTAATATAATACAATATATCCCAATTAGTAATAGCCTATTGTAAATATTTTCTTATGAGGGAATCGTTTGAAGGAGTTTTGCTTTTTTTTTAAAAAATGTATTCCCTCATTCCAAATTGTAACAGCCTTCAGCAAATATAATCATCTTTTGTATAAATGTCAGATGCTACGATAGTTGTTGGCTATTGTCAATTCCTTCTGGAAAAAGGGACTATAGAACTGCTGACCCAGGTTACATAAACATGTGTTTCATCTTTGCTTACGCAGCACAGTAAAAAGTAGACATTTCCTAAAGCTCTTGGAATTTGTCCCTTGTATCTGTTCATTTTAACTGCATCAGAACTTTCATCTGTTGATCTGGCAGAGAGAGGTTAGACCTTTCTCACGCTAAGATGATAGAACATACATGCATGGAACTCTCCGAATCTGGTGTATGACTATATTTGTTACTGCTGAAAAACAGAATGATATTCTTGAATGTTGTGGATCCCCCATCAGCTGGAACTAATGACACAATCCCAGCTTTCTGAGTGTCCCTGAATGCCCTTGTTTTGCTTAACAGTATTGCTAGCCACCTGTGGTCTAAAAGAATGAAAGGAAGCAGGACTTAAACTGCTAGGAGCAAGGGTAGAAGAGGCTCATAGCACACTTCTTGAAGACTGTCTAGAAATTAGAACTGATCCAGAAGGTGGCAGCATGCAGTTCTGGGTGACCCACAATTTTCCCATATTGCATCGCTATTGGGTGAGCTGAACTACCTTTCAGTTTTTTAGTAGGCACATATCTTTTAAACCCTAAATGGAATGGGATCAGTTCACTTGCAGAAGTGCTTGTCTTTGAAAGTATCTATTAATCTCATCAGTCAAAAAGGGAGAACATGTTCCAGGTCCCTTCCCTAAATCTAACTGGTCTTAAATTCTTACAGGTCATGTGGCATTTAGCTGGTCTCCAGTTTGTTCCTCTGGAAAAAAATATTTGCTAAAATTCCTAGTTGTTTCCAATATAATGGATTCCCATAAAATATAACAATATTATCACCTAATGTTGCCAACTCTGTGGCTCATACTTGAGGATCATTCATTCATTCATTTAGGCTTTTATGTGTTCTGTGAATCAAACCATTCTGGTTTATAAACCGTGGCTTATAGCTCAGTATTATCTGTGAAGTAGCATGAACTAATTTATTCATGGTTTAAAACCAATTGCGGTTAGTGCAATGTACAAATTTGACTCCACTGAGTTTCTCACATATGGACAATACAGAACAATAAGACAAAGCCCTTTCAAGATCTCTTTCAGAAGTACTTTTCTTGAGATCGGAGGAAAGAATATTCTTCAAATTCTGGCATGCATGTTCTTCTAAACTATGTTTGGGCAGAGTAGTCTGTGCAGAGCAGGTAAGGGGGAAGGGTCTAAACTGACAAAAGCAATGGTGAGCAATTGTAACCTAAGGCCTATCTCTTATTTACATCTACCGTGATACATGCTCAAAAATGGATTTTAGCTTGCAGCAGAATTGCAACCCATGTTTCAATCCCTTTTATTTCTTTGAAAAAGTGTTTAGATTTTCTACAGCTGTAGGGGATGTTCAGCTTGTCAACATCTAAGTTAATTCCAATGTTTTATTGTAATGTTTTAAATGTCAGATTTAGTTGTTTTATTTTATCTCGTATGGTTGCTTAGCAGAAAAATTGGTGTAAATATATAAACAGAGAGGCCCAAAGTCTGATTCAATTTCCCTTGGCCCAAAACTGATGCAGTATTTAACAGCTGTACCCATGCGTAGAATGATTTGTATCCTTTTAATAAAATGCTAAATATTTCTAGACAAAATCAAAGTGTCTAAGGAAATGTTGGTCCAGACATTTGGCATCACTGAAAACAAGTGGGTTAATTTTATTAAATTATGTGCGTGATAGATTTGACAGATCTTTAAACAATGCATAGAATTTATGTACGAAATCACAGGGTGGCCTCATAGAGGGGTCTTAGTAAAGCAGCTGGAATGTTAACACCCTGACAAAAATTGTTTAATATCTGCTGAGTATCCACAGGATACTGGGCTTAAAATGGAATCGGATGAAGATATTCCACTGTTAGACATTTCTATTGTTTTACCATAAAGTTTGTCTCTTAATCTGCATCCTTCATCTTGGTTCTGTGACTTTACAAGAGTCAATGATCTTGATTAAGAAAATGGAAAATAGTTAAGATCCATCATCATTTCCTAAGGTGAAGTGGTTGCCTCCCATAGCAGATTACAAGCACTATGAAATGGCAGTAACATTATTTATCTTATTCATTATTATATTTTTATGCCAAGTCTAAGAAGTGGAGCCTTATCAGATTGACTACATTATGAGCAAAGAGAAAGTAGTTTGATTCTGAATTCTAGGCCCCTTGAATGTGTATATGTCTATATATGTGCAGGATATGGAGGTATAGAATAGGTTTATTGGCTAGAAACAACTCTAAATCATGAAAATAGATGATGCCATGAAAGGAAAAGATTACTGCTGATCCTCAAGAAAAATAAATCAATAAGCTTCCAATAAGTTTCATTTTCACAGTAAACTACAATTCTAAACCTGCTATAAAGGCGTAACTTGATCCATTTGTATTTCCTTAATAATCTATTGAATAACATGCCAAAATTTGTCTGCCAATTTCCTGAAATTGATATTTGTGAGTGAGGCTTATTTTAAATCTCATTCGCAAAATGCTTTTGCCGTTCCTGATGGGGTGCTTCTAACAGTGGCAATTCAGCCAGGTAAATGAAATAAAATTCATAGTGAAGGTCAGAATTATTGATGGAAATGTCAATCATTCAAAATAGAAGTTTCCTTCTATTTGGCCATGAACTGATATTATATTATTTTTGAATGGTACATTATGTACTATTTAAGAAACAACAGATTTGTCAATTACCAGCAATTGCTCACCTACTGGTTGACAGAAACTACAGCAGGTATATTCACAATTTATGTCAATCTTACTAACAGCAGTTAAGTTAAATATTGTACAACATTTGAAGCAGTGAAAGCACCTAAATATAGAGATGGGTATAGAAAAATAGGGGGATCGACACTGCTTGTAAAATTGACTTATTTTCTTAAAGGTTAACAGAACTCAGATAAGGGCAAGTTTGTAATAACAAATTATACAACTTTTAGAATGTTATGTTTGAAAGTAGGAAACAGCATGTGGATATCTTTTGTGTTAAAGTTCTTATTTTCCTTATTGTTTATTTCTATATTGACCAATTATAATTTTTTAAAAAGGAAAGAAAAAAGTTACATATGCACTCAAGATTCAAAGAAATTTGAAGCTTACCATGTTGAGCAATGACTAAGGCAGTCGGTTATATTTTATTTTCCTGTGTCACACTTTTTCTATCAGTCTTCAGTCTTATAACTTCTTCACTTGAGATATAGTTGGAATATGAAAATCTGCAGATCCCTACAGAATTTGCTCATGTACAATTTCCAGATCCTTTTCTAACTCAGAAAAATCCATATGGTAGCTGAGATCATCTCACCAACCTGTGTGTGGAGATGGAGAATCAAAATATTATTTTCCATCAAATTGATGCAAAATGATTGACATAAACTTCAGCTTAGAATTAGTTTAGACAGAATAGCCAGATAGTGTGAACAAATACCAGGGACTACACCTTTCTGGACCCTCATAATTCTGTAGTTGGATGGGATTTTTTTCATGCTAAGAAATTCCCTGTGACGGGAATCTCATGATATTTGGCAGGAACTATTGCTTGGTAGAATACAGGGTAAATTCTGGTGAAGCGTGAGTGCATTTCTGAGTAAATAGATATAATCCAGAAAGATGCAGGAGAGTTTGGAAATAAACATAGTATATTGAAACTGATAGGTGATTGCCAGTAGTATGACAGTCAACTTGTGCCTTTGCATAGGCCTGTAGTAGGTGGAAGATTAATAGCATAGGATAAGGTAACCCTGGATTGTCTGGTAAATAGATAAACTAGACAACCCGTGTCCAATTGGGCCATTCTTACCTAAACAGAAAAAATAATCACAGGTGGCAAAAAAAAGCAGTAGGAGTGGGAGGTATTTCCAGCTTCTTTCAAACTATCCCATTGACATTGCTTGCAAGAAGCTGGTAGGATGTGTTGGAAATCATGCCTTCCTCTTCCCCAGATGA